AACAGCCGTATACTACGCAATTCACTCGTGGCATGTTTTTAAAAATACATCGGACAGTGCATGCAATAAAATTATTATTAAAAACACAACGCGCGCGACACTCGCGACGGATGGACTGCGAGGTTCGCTTAGAGCTCGTGTAAAGCGTGCGTCTGTGTGCGTGAGTCTGATTTCGAGCGTTTGTATGAAGCTTCCGTACTTTAATTTACTTTCACTAAGTGAGGTAACAAGAAGTCGGTTTGTACCGCGGCGTGAGTTACGAACTTTCAGGGCACGACGTGACGAGTCTCCGTGAAAGCCACGCGACGAAGCCGTTAGGCTACGAGCACAAGAGCGCGTGGCGTTTATCATGAAACTACGGCATATACGCTCGTTAACAATCTGTGAAAACATGGAATGTCGATCAAAATCGCTGAAAATCAATGTCAGAACAAAAGTGTCTGGAGCACTTTTTTGGAACTCAAGTACCATTTATTATTGCATGTCTTTGTTTAGGATTTTTGAGGCACATAAATATTTTCTATCTGTCAATGACTACAAAATAACTTTAAAAAATAACTTCATCTGCCCAAAAGAAACTATACGCATATAAAAAGCCATTGGCACGCTCTAGAAACGCCCGGCAAACGATGCCCTAAACTTTCAAGGTAGGTGTACAAGACATTTGCATTGCTAATCCTCATTCAATCTGTCCTGCGAAGTTAGAATAAGAACAAGTTTAGGGCAACTCAGAACAAGATTAAGGGGAATCATGGCGTGTCAGATAATAACTGGACCTTTATTATCCTATTATCGTATTTGAGAATAGATAAAAATAGAAATAGCTTTTGAAAAAGATTAAGATTAAAATATAATTATCCTTAATCTTAGCAGCGAACAAATAATGAAATAAGGAAGACCTATTTATAAGTCACGTGGGTTGTGATTTTGTGCGAGCGTGTAGGTGGCGTATTAAAATGATGAAAATAACAATCGGTAAAAAATAAGGATTATGAAGTAATCAATAATAATCTGAAGACAGCTGCTTAGATATTTTTGGCTATACGAATAACAGAAGCTACAATGTTATGGTGCGTCCAGAATGGGCGAACGGGCTCGCGCGGCACGCTGGTCATCCTGCTCACCCTGCTCTTGAGTGAGCAGGATGTTGAGTTTGCCGCGCGAGCCTGTGCGCCCAGTCTGGACGCACCATAATAGTAAAGTACGAATTTACGAAAAGAAAAAGCGGGCTAATGGAACTTACAAGAACCTTTCAATATAAATCGATAGAACCCCAAACAGCCACAGTACGGTATGATGTACCTACGTAAAAGTCACACACGTCACTTACCACCATTTATTTGTTACTAAAGAAACAACAAGCCAATAAAAGAAATCTCGTATCATAAGTTGCCAAACAAGACCGTGTCGTTATCTTTAAATCAATACAAGAACAACAAGAAACTTTATTGGTTCGAACAAATCGTCCAGTGTAACGACACTTAATGCTCCAAGCTCCACCGCCAAATCGCTCTAATAATAATACAAATTACTTAACCCATTTAGACCTACCGTACCCTATGTGGTACGGTATATTATTGAATATATTTTGAAGTACCAAACTGTTGTTATTTTGTAAAAATGATTGTGACAGTAAGCTTCAAGTGATTATTTTACATAAAAATATTTAAAAATGCGTTTTAACAGGTGGTTTCGGAAATATTTTTAAAATTCCTCGACAGAAAACAAAAAAAATATTTACAATGTATTCAAGAAGGTATATTTCATATTATTCATGGTAAATTATATTATTTATCAATTTTATTTCAAAAATAAAGTACAATAGATATCATAACTACGAAAAAAATATTATTGAGATTATTTTTATACCATTTTTTCTAGTCTAAAATAGGTGTACCCTATAAGGTACAGTAGGTCTATGCATAAGCAAAATCATGCGAGAAAATATAATTTAATTTTTATTATTTTTAATTGTTTTAGGCTATTGATGCTTCACTTGATTGCCACAACTCTAGAAAAAAAATATAATTTCAGCAAACAAAGCAATTTTGGTATTTTTTTACTGCTTTCCTATCAGATGGCCGCTAATGGTGATCAGACTGACGAAAATTCAGGCGATAACGATAGTGTCAATGTAAATAATTATCCTCAGAGTTTTCTTCGATGGATTTGCTAAATTTCCGTCATCGTATGAAATACGTGTTAAATGCGGTTATTGATAGCAATAAACGTAACAAGTCAGAAGAAGCCAGGTCTTCTTCAGCTATCCTCACTAACTTTGGAAAAGGTAGGAAAAAAAGAACCAAATGTGATTAGTGCCACATAAAACGACTTACAAGCTATGCCAAGAGTAATACTGGTGATTATGTGATTTTATTTTTATTTTATGTCATACAAAAATAAATAAAAACCTGCTTTGAACAACTAGTATGTTTTGCATGCATATAGACCTACTGTACCCTATATGGTACGGGCTCCCCACGGCCCCCTTTTTATGGATTATTTTTTTAAATATTTTTTTCATGATTTTTATACTTCCTTTTGTAAGTTCTTGCTGAGAAATCAATTATTATTTACAAAAATAATTATCGGTCTAAATGGGTTAATAAAACAATTAGTATAAAAAGTATCAAGTCTTTCTTCGAGTCAAGCGTAGCGATCTAAACCAGATATTTTCTAATTGAATTTACTTTGAGGTGAAATGTTCTTTTGAAAATAAGTTAGTTGCCAACAAAGTGAACAACATCCTAATCCTATTATTAAAATAAGAAAGTTTGTGAGGATGAACGGATATAACTGAGCTACATAAACGAAAATTCATATACCTCGAGATAGTTTTTATCCCTGTTATTTTTTTTGGAGGGTTCCCCTACGCGCTCGGTTAAGACAGTCACAGTCTGAGTCTGAGGGCAAAGCCGCGGGCAAAACTAGTACTTAGTAACATCTAAATCAGTGTGGTATGGTTTTAAATCTCTCGCATAATCTTAATGGGAAGTATTACTAGGAGCAATTTATGGTTGCCGGACTAGGTCCCCGGATTTATCATCCTCGCGGGTGGCGTTAGCGAAAGTCGGGCCATTAGCAAGATGCATTGCCCCCTAACTAGCCCGCGTCCGATGTTTTTTGCGGAAAATTTTCCAGGCATAGTTGGTCTGGGTAACGATCGCTAATTTGTTTGCTGGACGTCATGTCATTCAAGTACACCTACAATCTACATGATATGAATAAAGAAAAGTTTGTGCGAAATTGTAAATCAATTGAATCACCGAAAAACATGTGTCTTATTAAGAAAAAATAAGATATGGACAAGAAACTGTATTGTTTTATAAGATTCAATCATTGGAATCAGGAAAGGCTTCACTATGGACACCCGCTACGCAGCTACGTAAAATGTGCATGGCAGTCGCTGCTCATTTTAAGACTAGCAGCGCCATCTTTCAACCGGTAGTTTCCAATGGAAAAGCAGACATCACGTGATTATGACGTGTTGTTCGCAATAGAACAAAATCCTATCGAAACATAGTTTCGTCAAAGTACAACAGATGGCTCTGTTCCTCAAGTATTGGGCAACAAATCTCCTATTAATTTTTATGTTCAACGTTAAACAATAAGTTAATTGTATAATTTAACGTTAATAGATTTGAATAATGACATAGTATTTCCCATTAGCAAATAACCCTACTGCGATGAACAATCTGCCGCAGGTCGTGGCTAAATTCGTTAGTTTGACTATAATTGAATGCATCAGAGGCCTCGTTGGCGCACCGGGACACGAGCTCACAGCTGAAAATTGGATCACCACCCGCCCAGACATAGCGTGTAGCGGAGGTGATTAGGCACTGGTTATGATAGTTACCACCGTGTGCGCTTAAGCGAAGGGATAGTACAAAATTGATATTTGTATGTGCACCAAACAGACTGCATGATCGTGTACGTTCTTGAATCAAAAAATTCTTGATTTTACAAGCTTACTACACCACACTTCAAGTATAGAACTGTTAGGGATTCTTCTCTGCTAAGTAGACCTTAAGCGGTTCGGAGGAGCGAAGTGGCCGAGCAAAAAGATTATATTGTCAGATGTTATCAAGCCGCATTGAATGGCAACCTCATCTATACAAACTTATAGTTTATCAAATGTAACATTAGCGTATTATTTCATTTATCTTAAACATGGCCAGCTAAGAACTTTATCGTGTTCATTAAGCAGGCAATGTTGAAATAGTGAACTTTTAACGGCTCTGATAAATAAAATTTCAGTCGCTGTCACATGCGCGTGACGGCTGAGCTCATAGCCAGTTATGGGAGCCCTTAATTGAGTTTAGTGCAACATGGGACGGCTCTTTCGGACCCCTGCTAGTGTTTAATGAGATAAACTGAGGCGTTAAAAGATTTGGGGGCCAGTGCGCTAGCCAATTGCATTTTCACGGCTGATTGAAATATTCAATTAAAAGTGATGGAACATCGAACGTCACTTTCTGTAAAAATATCCCCCCCTTCCCCCCATAGGGTAACGAGATCTCAACAACGGTTGGAGCTTAAATAGATTTGGAGAATATGGGCTGGCCAATGCATTTCCAATGAAATGACGAATGAAGAATCTAATTATTCGGACGATAGGCGCGAGCGGGGGCATCCAACTATAGTTCGATGGACTTGCGCAATATATGGCAAGCGTCATAACGAATCAGCGTGCTAGTTTCTTTTACATCCGTTAAAAAAATACAAAAAAAGTTCAGCAGTCCAGAAATTTCAGATCTTTTGAGTCTCAATGTGCACAGTAGACAATTGTCATTATCACACTGACAGTACACATACAGTACACAGTAGACAATTATCCAGCAGCATTATGTCTATAGCTAAAAGTTCAAAGCACTAGATCTACGTCATAATCGGCGAAGGGTTATCTCAAAGAGACTGCTGTAACTAGTCTTGCTTCCATCCAGAAGTTTGCTGACAACTGCCTTGCTGAAAGGAGACTACAAAAGACGAGTCCCACTGACCTCGCACTGAATATGGTGGCCAGCGCCATGAAGCAGCCGTCGGCCACGCGTGGGGGTCCCGTGAAGCACTTGTCCACAGTCCAGTCCAGCAATGGGCCGATGTCGGGGTTGCAGTCCAAGAGGAGCACTATGGTCTGCCGGGCCAGCTCGTATATCTGAAGCAAATGTACTTGGTTAACAAATCATCGAGTTCTGTTCGAATATCACTTAATAATAAAAATAATTATTTTCTGTCACACATCAAGTCCATTCCAAGTAAAAATAACAGCATATCAAAAGTCAGTTTGAAGTGCGCGGAAGACGTGTTGGTCGTCTTTAGCACACGAGGCACCGATCACTTAGTGGGAGAGGGTTCAGGTACAGGTTTTTAGCGAGTTCGAGACTCACAGAACCCCTCAGCGCCAAGTATGCAAGCCTTGATCAAAACGAATCAGAATATCGCAAGAAGAAAAATTTTAAAACAAATCTCTCTAATCAATTAGCGGCGGTAGTGTAAACCACCAAACCCTGCATTTAGTTCTGGTTAATCAGAGGCGGACATTTTTCTCTGGTGCAGACAAATGAAGACGAAGACTATGAAATCTCTTTTTAGGTTGTCTCCTGAGCTCGTTTACAGTTTACAGATCAATCACAAACCTTGTCGTTGGTGGAGGACAACATCTCGCTGAGCCAGGGATACAGCGAGCCATCCTCGGCCAGCGCAGACGGCGCGAAGCAGGGCCCGCAGCACACCAGCGCGCTCATGGCCTGTGGGAGAAGAGACTTCATTCAAATACACATAATATAATGTAGCATTTAATGGCAAATGAGATAATGAAAGCATGTGCTTGTTTAGAAGACGTCTATCTTTTCTGCTATTGTTGTTATTAGACGGAAGGAGGTAAGCGATAAGTGATTATCACCGCCCATAGACAGCTGCAACCCCGGGGGAGTTAAAAGTGCGTTGCCGGCCTTTGAGATGTGAGTGTACTCTCTTTTTTAAAAAGTTAGTGCGTCGTATCGGTCTGGAAATACCGTAGGCGACAGTTTATTCCACAGTGCTATTTCTAATCAAGGCGTTGGGCAGAGTGGTCGCGGTTACATGAGGCGACTACGTCAATAGCTTACTATTGGACTATTGGGGGGGGGGGACCGGACAACTCTCCATACGATCTCCCGCCATCTCTGCCTGTTAGCAGCCTGTCTGACGCAGTCACACATAAGAGTTTCCTACACGCTAATGAGAAATTGTTCGTTCGTTTCAGCCAAATGACGTCCACTGCTGGACAAAGACCTCCCCCAAGGTTTTCTACAATAAAAGGTCCTGCGCTGCCCGCATCCAGGCTCTTCCTTATCGCCGGTCCACCTAGTAGGCCTGCCCACGCTATGCAGACTTTTCTGCTCCAACGGCCGTCGTATCTACGAGATACATGCCCCGCCGTATGAGAAATATAGTTATGTAAAGTAGTATCAAGTGTTACCCGTAACGCCGCCAGATGTAGGCGCTCGTCGGCGTCCTGTGGCGGCGGCGGCGGCGGCGGAGGCACGAGCGAGCCGAGGTGCCGCGCCGACGGCCCGCACCAGCCCGAGAACAGGCTGAACAGGCTGCGGAGAAGCTCCTTCTTCATCAGCGACCCGTACATCTCCACTGGAAGGCGGACAAACACGTTGAAGACCATTTTGGTCGAGGGAAGCGCGGGGTGGTTGGTGGTGGGGCGAATCTTCGTGGATGAAACGATCTATAACTTCTTTTGCTAACCAGCGAATTACGGCACATTTACGGACGAATGGAATAGTTACCATACGTTCCGTTCTTTCTACTGGACTGGGACACCAAGGAATCTCAATAGATATAGTTGCTCTAAAGTCGTACTTAACCACTGGATACCAAAGTAAATACATTACAGTTGCTGTTCCTAAGAGACCCGTATATTTTCCGGGTACTTACGAAGAAAACCCTTGTTGAGATCAATGAAACACTTATCGAGTTTCTCTGTCTTATCACGTATAACGGTCTGTAAAAGAAAACAATTCTTCTCTCTGCTGTGAAGTCTTACATAGATACTCAGATATATAAATATACAAAAAGGAGAAACTGGCTGACATATCAACGCACAGCCTAAACGGCTAAAAATAGGCACTTGAAATTTGGAAGGGACGTAGCTTAGGTACCGTAGATGTGCACTAAGAAAGGAATTCCTGAAATTCCCATGGGAACGGGAAAATCCTTTTGTATGAAAAATCTAAACCGCTTAAGTTAGACGCTTGAAATTTGGCATGCAGGTACCTTAGTAAACTTATAGCTTATAGTCCAGTCATTTAAGCTTAAATTAGGTAAGAATCTCGGAATTCGAGATACCCAGCTGTAAGTCTGTAAATACTTGTATATTGACACCCTAAAAGTTGTCTCAAAACCTACATATGGTAGGGTGTAAGCAACTATTAAATTTTAAGTTCAAAGGTCACAAAAATCGGTTTTTTGCGCTTTTTTTGGAAATATCTCATTTCCTATGGGTTTTTTGCTATTTGTATTTATTATCAATATTGTAGAATACAAAATTCTCTACAAATTTTGTTTAGAAACTTTTTTTATACGGTGAACCGTTTTCGAGATAGAGGGCGTAGAGCGCGCGGTCACTGCATCACTTCAGGTCAACTTAAGTGGTTTAGGTTTTTCATACAAAAGGATTTTCCCGCTAATTCCCGTGGGAATTTCGGTAATTACTTGTTGTAAATAAGCTTTAAGTTTACTAAGGTACCTACATGCCAAATTTCAAGCGTCTAACTTCCGTTAAGCGTTTAGATTTTTCATACAAAAGGATTTTCCCGCTAATTCCTGTTCCCGTGGGAATTCCTAAGTAAACTATAACCTGCCCAGGTGTATGAAGAATAATTGTACCAAGTTTCGTTAAAATCCGTCGAGTAGTTTTTGTTTCTATAAGGAACATACAGACGGACAGACAGACAGACAAAAATTTTACTGATTGCATTTTTGGCATCAGTATCGATCACTAATCACCCCCTGATAGTTATTTTGAAAATATATTTCATGTATAGAATTCTGTCCGTCTGTATGTTCCTTATAGAAACAAAAACTACTCGACGGATTTTAACGAAACTTGGTACAATTATTCTTCATACACCTGGGCAGGTTATAGTATACTTAGGAATTCCCACGGGAACAGGAATTAGCGGGAAAATCCTTTTGTATGAAAAATCTAAACGCTTAACGGAAGTTAGACGCTTGAAATTTGGCATGTAGGTACCTTAGTAAACTCAAAGCTTAGTTACAACAAGGAATTCCCTAAATTCCCATAGGAATTAGCGGGAAAATCCTTTTGTATGAAAAATCTAAACCGCTTAAGTAGACCTTAAGTGATGCAGTGACCGCGCGCTCTCCGCCCTCTATCTCAAAAACGGTTCACCGTATAAAAAAAGTTTTTAAACAAAATTTGTAGAGAATTTAGTATTCTACAATATTGATAATAAATACAAATAGCAAAAAACCCATAGGAAATGAGATATTTTTAAAAAAAGCGCAAAAAAACGATTTTTGTGACCGTTGACCTTGAAATTTAATAGTTGCTTACACCCTACCATATGTAGGTTTTGAGACAACTTTTAGGGTGTCAATGTACACGTATTTACAGACTTACAGCTGGGTATCTATAATTCCGAGGTGAACTTACTATAATGACTGGACTATTAGTTACAACAGGATATTGTAAAATTCCCACAGGAACGGGAGTTAACGGGAAAAAACATTTGTATGAAAAAATCTAAACCGCGTGACAGATGAAGGGGGTAAAACGGGATCCACGCGCACGAAGTCGCGGGCGGCTGCTAGTACATTATAAGATGGCAAAAAGTAAATAACTTACGAGGGAAGCTCTTGATGAGTTCTGTGACGAAGTCGGCGAAGGTGAGTCGTTGCTCCCTGGCGGCCGGGGCGTCTTTCTCGGCCTCCACCTCCAAGCATTGCCGCACTCCGTCCAGGTACTCAGTGAGGGTCGGGTGCAGGCTGCCGCCTTCGAGCGCGAACGGGCTGCAACAAATGTGGAGATGTCACGATAATCATTAAAAAAAAATCATTAGCAACTGCACTCAGGAGGATTTGATGAGTGCTACTGACAACGCCACTCTTGTGGCGGAGTTTTGGGCTGACGCTGTATAGGTTTGTTGTCGACACGAAAAGAAGAAGATTAGGCCAAGAGCTTCCTCGTTGTGAATAAAAAAAAACGAAAACATGTCATTGTGTCCCACTCAGTCCCACTTTGCACGTGAGAAACGGGGCGAGCGAAAGCCTATTCGCATAGACCAGATGAAACACTGTCATCCGAGGTGCCATGCACGCCCTCTAAAAATATCCAAAACTTCGACAATATTATGTGCCATCTCGTTTTTGCTTCCAAAAAAATCTAGTAAATCTAATCAATAAAGTAATGTATGCCTACTTAGTTGCTTACTTTATAACTCTTAAGAAATTATTTATAAACAAAATTACCCTAAACCTAAATTTTTAAATGTCTGCTCTCAATAAAATATTCATATGTAATATGTGGACATTGTTGTTGGTCATACAATACTTTAGATACATAGATAAGTATGATTCTAGACTAAGAACCATTGTAAAATTGTATTTTTGTCCCAAATAAATGAAAAAAAAAATGTATTATATGAATTTAAATGTGATTGTGTTATGCGTAAAATGATTCACGTACGGAAAGGGCTTCACGTTGAAAAAAACGTTCTGTTAGCTTAAAAAAAAGAAAATTCAGATTTTCACGTGGTGACTGACCTGGTAGCGAAGGTCTTCTTCTGCGCGATGAGCAGCAGCATCTTGTTGAGGTGCAGCCGCAGCGCGTCACGCCGCCGGCGCCGGCGCATGTTCTCCTGTTTGCGATCCACGGCTTCGCGCAGTAACGGGACCAGCTCTTCCATCAAATCCCTAAGCGAATATAAGCGTTAACAAATCGATTTGCAATTTTTGTGCAGACATAAAATGATAATTTTAGTTATCAATTTAATATAACCAATGCTAGCTGTCACAGACGGGTATTGGAGACTTCACAAAAACGAATGCAAAAACTCTTCTATCTTCGTCTTTGCATTCTATGATCGATCATAGTACGCAGAACTGACGGCCGATGGGGCAGCAAGGTTCTGGAATGGAGGCCGCGTACCGGAAAACGCAGCGTGGGACGTCCACCCACAAGGTGGACCGACCTGATAAAGGTAGCAGGAAGGCGCTGGATGCAGGCCGCTACCAACCGTGTGATGTGGAAGTCATTGGGGGAGGCCTATGTTCAGCAGTGGACGTCCTGTGGCTGGAATGATGATGAAAGAGAGAAATAAAGTTATGATTTCTCTCTTTCATCTATACAGGGTGTTTGGTAAATGGGTATAATGAGCCGACACTAGCCCATGTTAACATGGACATATAAATGGTATGGTGAAGTCAGAAATTTGATATCATAATTTTATTTTTTTAATTTTCATACAAAATAAATTTTATAAAATCCGATTTGTATGAAAATTAAAATAATTAAAATGATGATATCAAATTTCTGACTTCACCATACCATTTATATGACCATGTTAACATGGGCTAGTGTCGGCTCATATACCCATTTACCAAACACCCTGTATATAAAAGAAAGTCGTGTTAGTTACACCACTTGTAACTCAAGAACGGCTGAACCGATTTAGCTGAAAATTGTCAGGGAGGTAGTTTAGAGCCAGGAGAAGGACATAGGATACTTTTATCCCGTTCGAAATTAAAAAAAAGTCTGCTTATTTATTGCCATTAAGGCGGAACAAAGTTCGCCGGGTCAGCTAGTTATTTATACGTACTTGAGCGCGTCGGGGTTGATATTCCCGCAGGCGGCGACGGCGGCGTCGCGCACCTCGGGCACTTCGCAGCGCGCCAGCGGCACGCACAGCTTGTGCAGCGAGCCCGGCGCCGCCGCCGCGCCGCGCGCCTCGCCGCCGCTGCGCTCGCTCAGCGAGTCCGGCGACGAGCTGCGCACACGCAACGCTTAGTCACACCGCGGCACCGCGCAGCCGCAGCCGCAGCCGGGAAGTGTTAAGGAATCACACCGGCGCTTCAATTTCGACACCCACGCGAGTTCGATGCATGACGTTAATGATTAACGAAGTGAAATAATTTGACTAAAGTCTGGTCGCTGAGCACGTTGAATTTCGTCTAATGACCCCAAGCTACCCATCCTTATCGCTCGCGCGTAATTTTATTGCTGTCGCAACTGTACGCCGGGCGGCCACAGCGAGTGTGCGGACGCGATAGCAATATAATTACGCGCGAGCGATAAGGATGGGTAGCTTGAGGTCATTGGATGAAATTCGACGTGCTTGGCGACCCGACTATACCAAAAAGTATGTAAAGTCAGCGTCAAATAGTTTGTGACACCCAAAGTAGCCAAAAAGATAGCAACACGTCTTTGTGACAATTAGAATGAGGTTGTGTTGCCAACTTTTTGGCCACTCTAGATGTCACGAACCATTTGACGCTGATGAAGTAAAATACCATGAGATTATGGAAAGTGGTTGCTAACAAATTCGTACACGTTTGTGTTTACAAAATCAAAACGCCTGTATGAAATATTCCTTTTATGACACTCCTTACTGTTGCAAGCATGGACAGCGAGATTGGAGTCGTAATAGCTGTAGACGTCGACAAACTGACAAAATGCTTCTTCAACAAATCTACAAATCGAAGTTGTATGAAATACCTAATGCTCTTCTATAGAAAGCAAAGAAATATGTGATTTGTCGTTATAAATAATCGTTATAAATTGTTATAATAAGTCGTAATAAATTGTTGCTAACATGATTATGGACCCCGGTCTGACAATTTTTTTTTTTTTTCAATTCAATTCAATATAATATTGTAATCTAGAGATTTACAAAAAAACCCTGCCGAGATATGGATACAGAATAAGCGCGGTGTTATGTACTTTGAAAAATTATTATTAGTATAAAGTATTTGATTACATCCTGAAACAAATAATAGAAGATGACCCTAAAAAAGAAATCTTGTGTCAGCTGTGTTATCCTAGCTGTCCACAGCTGCTACGATCCAATCTCACGGTCGTCTGCGCAGTTTATGACGCCTTACATTTACTAGCCAACAAAACGCACATATTACTTTTGCACGAAATTACTAGTTCTCAAAACTGAGATATTTTGCAGTTATATTTCTGAAGCTAAATGTGCAACCACCATGTCATTGTGCGTCAATTGTTGCTAAGTAAATATAAGACGCGTGCGCGTGCATTCACTAACACCCAGCACACCTGGAAATCTAATCACAAATTAGTGTCAAATAACTTTGTGTAAATGCATGTAAAGGTAAAACTTGCACTCATTAACTTTGGACTCTTCAATATTTTAATGATATTAAAAAATGCCTTCTTACATTTACTTCGTTTTAATGAATATTGTAAAGGCAATAAAAATTCAACAAAGAAATACATACTTTAATTTAACACTATTACTTAACATTAGCATGCAATTTAAATAATCCAACAATAAAAAACAAGAATGAGACGAATCCAAGCAATACTTATGACATGTTACAAACTACACACATAACTTCTGGTGTCTAACCAGCGAACACAATTATAGGGAGGCCGCAAAAAACATATTGTGAAAGCTGATTTATTGAATAGAATGAATATAAAGGAACAAGTATATGCACGATGTTTAGCCACTAATGAATGTTTCGACTGTGAATGTTATTCTTCTGTTAGTATTATTTCAATGTTTTCCTTAATACATTCACAATCAAAGACCAAAATTAATGTGATTCCAAAAATATCGTATAACTAACATACATACAAAGCGATAATATCCACTCTGATAAATTAAGGAAAAAGAAAAACCATATTATTATTATGTGTAGAATAACAATATGCAGAGTACAGATTGATGTCTTGAACTCTTTGGTCTAGGAATTACTGGATGCCCCCACTTTAACTTTTTGTCTAAAAACGAATATCTCACTGATTTTACGAGACAATTTCTTGATATACAGAGATTTGTATTATTTCAAATACACATTTCACTTACTTAAGCATAGAGCGGTACAAATAACACATCTAGCCCTTAACTTACCACCAACCAGAGAACCCACATATCCCTTAACACTAAGCGAGACCAGACCTGATATGACAGAACAGGACGGAGAACAGAAACCATGAAGAAACTAATGCATGCTCTAACGGAATAACCGTAAGATCTATATTCGTCTAAGGGCTCTACAGGGACATTGCTGGACGGCACACGGGTCCTAATCGCTTGGCTACGAACGTGCCACAAATATCGGCGACAGCTTTTACGTTTTATGGGAGTACCATAAAATGAGAAAGGGTACATGTCTGTAAACAAGTGTGTATTGTGCTATCTATGCTGGATTAAGAAATAATTTACAATTGTGTATTAGCAGCACGCCACAATCATTGTTCAAAATATTTAACTATGTATTCCCTGTTACTATACATAATCAATTTAGCATTATGATATCAAAGTGTTGTTCAAAACCTCGTTAGAAAGAGATATTTGCTAGTTTGCTTGTCCGATGTTCGTGGCACGTCCTGCCGCGGACACACGCACAGACATACGGACACAGATCGTTACCCCCACAGAGTCTCCGGACACGCAGAGAGGAACAGAGCGCTGTCCGCGAACAAAAAAAATGGACACGTGTCAATTAATTTGGCTATTGTCAATTTAAAACCGTAATGTTTTATCAAAACAACACAGACCACTTTACCTATATGGGTAATCTGTATTTCATGCTGTGAAAAATATTTTTCACAAGAACTATTTTTCGCCAGCGAAAATATTATTACTTTTAAATATGTATAAATCAATGTTTGTTTTATTTAAACTAATCCTTAAATTGGCAGGTTAATCGTTTTCTCCTTAGCTAACTCAGTAATCGTACCTATATTTGTTAGTGACAATTAATTCTATTAAAAATCTACATCTTAGCAAGATCAATGCACTGTTATGATACACAACAATGCTTTGCGACCTGTATGAATCAAACATGTACAAACGAAAAACAAAAATAGCGCTCTGTACGATACTGAAATGATACCTCAGACTGAATGATGCGGCATCCCAAAACTAAAACTATGTAGGGTAAACCAGAGAGTGATTGCCCACTGGTAGTGATTGCCCGCTTTAAGAATAATATTGTCAGGTGCTGACTTTGAATCACTCTAGTTAGATTTGAATTTACTAAGTAGATGGCTCCGAGATCAATATACAGTAGATTTAAAATTTACAATAGGAAACACTAAAAAAAACAGTTATGGCGGATTTTGTCAAGACGGGTGAAAATGTTACTCAAACAGGTAAAGACTTTAACAATTTTACTAAGGAATTACTTTCTTAGAGGTTAAATTTTTTTTGCAAGTTATTTAATATTCAACTAATGGTGTATAGTCATAATGAAATTATAAGTGTTTTCTCCATTATCAATGAAAATAACTGATAAAATTTGATTTCTAACGGTCATTTTAACGGTGGGTAATCACTGCACGTAAATCTGTATATTTTTAGTTATTGCCCACCATCATTTCAGTTATTGCCATATGTTAATGTATAGTTATTGCCCAGGGCAATTATTATTAGAGTGTTGCCACCATGCAGTAGCAGTGTTTAAGTTGCTCATTGCTAGACTTGTTTTGCAATTTACAGGCATAAATATTGAAATGGCTTTTAATGTTTCATTTTCAGTATGCCAAAGACTCCAAAAGTTCAATATAGCATAGAAAATTTGCAAAAAGCGATCGAAGCTGTACAAGATGTATCCAACAATTTATCTACAAGATAAATTGCTGAAAAATATGGTTTGGCTTGAAAAAATTGACAAAAATTCAAACGCAAATACAAAAAATGAAAATTCTACGTTAAATCTACTACTGAAAATGTTAATTGTAAGGAAATAGATACAACTTTAGGGAAGAATAACCAATAGCTAATTGAACATTCTGAGCAACCACTTGAACTGATATCAAAGAAGATAAAAAAATAAATACATATAAAATTTACATATAAAATTCAAATTTTTGCGTCATCTATGTTTTGAAGTAGATGATTCTGTCTCTACCGATTCTGACTCATCAACATCAGCTCAAGAAATATTTGATAATATGTTAATAAGGCCAAACGCAATTTATTTTGAAATTTTGAAGACTGTACTACTAGAATTTAAGTTTAATGTTTTGTTTTGTTTATTTAAAGCCTATTTTGTCATTTTAAAATTGATTATTTTGTTTTAAGATACTGGGCAATTACTGTGCTTTGATGTGGGCAATTAGTGTGAGTAATGGGCAATGACTGTACTTTTTGGAGGATTTTAAATTTATTTCAATATTTTGTAAGTTACGTAAGTTTTAACTAAAAACTGTTAATATTCTGTTTAACAGTTTATTGAGTTATAAGAAAAAAGTCATAAATGGTCGATAATTAAAATACTTTCTTTAATTTTTCATCTCAATGTGTTTGATATCTTTAAGTGGGCAATAGCTATACGGTTTACCCTATAATGATTACCCAGTTACGTTTGGGTGCGCGACCTGCATGTAGATGACATTTAGCTCTAACGTAATGCGTCGCAGGCATGTCAATCGCTAAACTGCTCTCGCGTCTATCTAGTCATTCCGTTAAAACAAAGCGGACGGTAGTAACAAACAGAAAGTACTATAAACCAATGGGTACAGTTATGCGGAGTGATGTCGGGGGTTTATTCACAGATGTAGACGCCACGAGGCGCGGCGCCGCCCGATGACTGTGTATTAGCTGTGCGCGCCCCGGCCGTAGGGTTGCCAAAACCAACCACCCCCTTTAACCGGACAATAGAATAGTTCTGGTCTTAAATATCAAAATATTGAACATGACAGTGGTCAATGTATTTTAACACTCTTTTATTATCAAGTCCACTTTTGTAACTTTCATTACAAACAAAGTAATAATGTATCACTATTCCACGGTTGGCAACCCTAAGTATGCGTGAGCGATGGTCATGAATAGTGGGTTTCGTTTCGAAATTTTATGATATCGGAAGTATGTAAAAAACTTTGCATAATCTACTAAGTAATATTCGCTTTCGATATCATAAAAACCAATAGATTAGCAACCAATATGCGCATGGTGTGGCAGGATTTTCGTTTACATCTTACGGATCGGGTTAATCTTATGGGGATTATTATTTCAGAAAATTTTGTAATTTGAATAAGCATTTCAATCAGATGCAAACTTATAAATTAATGAAATTAAAAGACTATTATTGCCATAACTAAAGGCATTATAGATTTATCGTATGACATCTAGTCATACTGTAAAGATATTGCTTGATTTGGTAACTTTGAGTGCATTGTGCCATCGTGAGAACCAACAGGTCATGGCCGCGGTAAACGGCAATTTAATTAAAAATAGAGCACGGCATTTAACCCGTCAACCGCCAGCGCACATCGGTTGCCAACCCGCGCCCACGTGCCCCAATGCGATGACCGATGACGTGCACGGTTGAGTGGGCACCTCGTCCGCTTGTGGTGTCTGTGCGCGCGCGCCACGCTCAGCGGCAACGTGAAGAAGCCGCCCGGCGCATTGAGGCTCTCGCTCGACGAGCTCAGCGCGCCTAGCCACGACTCCTCAGTGTTACTGGACAGACCACACGCCCAACCAAATCATAAACATTCTGGGAGTGGGTAGTCAATGCGAAAAAACGCTCAACGGTTGGAATGTGCAGGTGTCAAAATGTCCATACGGACCGGCTGTCAGTGTGGAAAAAAGTATCAACGTCGAAATGAGCAATGGTTAAAATGTCTTCGGGTTTATTCGAACAAGAGTCTTATTGTATAATAGCTAACATGAGCACGTGTTTAAAAGCATCAAGGTAAAAAATGTCCAAAAAATCTTTATTGGCTGGACTACAAGAACATTGAACATTTTGACATTTAATTTTATTAATTAAATCATGAGCACAATATATCAGTTGATCATTTTATCTATCACACCTTTTGTTGTACTTGTATTTTGTGATGTGTACCATTTGTCACTAAACCATTGTAACCATGGTAATAATGTACATTTTGACACTAGGACTTTTTGACGTTCATACTTTTTGCCACACTGACAGCCGGTCCGTATGGACATTTTGACACCTGCACATTCCAACCGTTGAGCGTTTTTTCGCATTGACTACTCACTCCCAGAATGATCATAAAACAACTGCCCACATGTGCGGCCAGTGGCAGCTGGAATCGCAGGTGCCCGATGTGGTTTGTGCGTTCAACACCACCAGCAACCTGTCTAGTGTTCCCTAAAACATGTAGCTATGAACACTACGTTTTGCACGACGCTCTAGTTTGAAAAGTGTGATATTTTATTACTACGTTGCTAACACCCAACGTATTAAGACACGGCTGCTAGTGTACCGTATTACAATATAGGCATTGATACTCCTGCGTGGATCCACTTTCCGGCACACGAAAGATTAAATCAAGTCTGTGGATCAACATGTCATCTGAAATTTATACTTTCAACTCGATTCAATTGCTTTCTCAGTTTCTTCACAACTTTAACTCAAATCCCCAAAGCCTAACTACACTGTAAATAATTTTATACATAAAATATGTATATGGATTGATACTGTACTCAATATGCGAATATAATACATAAACGTACTGTTAAGTGAATAATAAATTGAACAATTCCTCATGTAAAAATGTGCAGAATATCGTGTGAATAAATTTGTTTAGGTCTGGACATTAAATCACATGCGTTTTATACATGTCATCAAAAATGGGATTCTCTTTATTTGCTTTCATCTGTTTTAATTGAGCTAAGCTATGAATTGATTAATGATTTTATCGTAATTGCTGAGCAAGACTATAGTTATAAAAAAGATAACAAAATAGAATATTTTTTGTGTCGAAAGTTATTTTCTCCTTTATATGGTTAGTAGTAAGTACAAGAATCCAGCCCGTAAAGAGAATCGCAATCTATATTGCTAATAATAAAGATAGTAATAAAACACGCAAATAAGAGACAATAATCCACATATAGACGTTTAGCAAAAAAGGTTCGCTACTGAGTCAGCACATCCATCAATACACGGGAGTTACTGCCAATCAACCGACTTCAAGCCAATCTCTACTTCGGATGGTACAGTGGCTAACTTTGGAATTATTAGAAACTTTAAAAACTTATGCTAGGGAAAACTTGAACGATGAAGAAAGTGTGTCATGCAAAATTTTGTCGGTAAGTATACTAAAACTTTTTTCAATACTATACAGAGTTGTAATCAGGTGAGTTCTTGATCGTCCAAGCTCACACAACACAACACTCGGAATGCTGAGGAGTTGGAAGGAGGAGGGCTAAGAGGAGGTTACCTGAGGCTCAGGTCAGGGCTGGCGCAGCGGATCACGGGGCTCGGCACCGCCGGCACCACCAGGTATGCCATTGTCATGTAATACTTCCACACCTGAAACACGAGAGCCGGGTGTTGAAAATTAATGCTACAGTTCCAGAGTCATAGACCAATATTCTCGAACGACGCTTACTTAAGGATCTACATTCGAGAATAGATTCAACTAGGTAATGTAGTTTATTTGAGAGATGTTATTTGAATAGGTTTTTGAATTCTTTCATACTTTGATTACAGATCACGATTAAATAAAAAATGTTATATTTACCTGCATGTAGCCGTCTTTTTCCTTCTCAGGTTTCCTCGGCAACGCGGGGCCACGTGACAGTAATGAAGCGCGGTTGTCATTCACCGGTCTAGAGACATAAAAAGTATTAATATATTAAAAGTATCTTCATTAGAATGGGAAGAAAGAAATAATGTAGTTAGTCCTTGCGACGGAATATTTGCAGCTGAAAGGTAGCATCCGGTGCTAGGCAGAAAACTGGGAGGTCGAGGCCTGCTTCATTCTAAGAGGACGTAATCTTACCGAAGGAGACAGCGATGCGGGAAATTGAGGTAAGTAACTTATACACTCTTCCACTCCGTAGACTGAAGAGGAATTGAAGTCATTGTACAACCAATAGTTTGATCCTCCCCCGGTGGTGGACTGCAGTCTGTTAGCGTTAGCCTTATCGATCAGGATTGGCCCGTTGATACCGGCTAATCACCCCCATTGAGGAGTTTGATCGACTCAGGGAAAACAGCTGTATGCTTTTATTTGCTTCGATCCCTTGTTTTCTGAGGCAGATTAGTCTGGCAATCTTCGGGAGATGTGGACACTGGACACTTCAAATCGGCTATTGTTGAAGAGAAAAACTCAGGAGCCGGTTTTTGGTAAAGTTGTATTGTTACACGCAGTAGATGTTGATTGTACATTAGTTTGAGAGAAAGTAAAAAATAGTCGTACTCTTGCAAACAGCACGGCACGGACGTGTGTAGCGCCATCTATGATTATCTATGTAAATCATTTCGATACTAGGTACTGTTAGTTCTGTAAAGCAAAGATGAATCATAGATGGCGCTTTACAAACATTTGTTTTATAATAATATCGAACAGCTGTACTCACGCAGGTTCGATAATGGTGTATAGAGCGTGCGTGCGCGCATGCAACATGGGCCAGGCCTGCTGGATGGTGGCGGGACAGCGCGCCGGCACGCGGTTTCTCTCGAGTAGCCCGAACAGCACCACCTTGACAAAGAAGGATGCTTTGTTATGTTCGCTCACACTTTTTCAACTTTTTCATTGACCACCCTGAGCTCCATTAGTAAACTTTGCAAAGTTCCAAGTAAATACAGCAGTCACGGAAGCAAGCAAACTTGGCGGCGCACTACCAGACGAGGCGAAGAAAATCGGCAAGACCTGGAGCTAGATCAAATGCGAAGCTCAAGACCGAACGCGACGGAGGACTGTTGTGGACGCCCTCTGCCCCATCTAGGGGACATAGGACCTTAAGTCAAGTCAGGTAAGTAAATACATCAAAGTGAAAATTCAAGCTTACCTTCCATGGGTCAGCACCATTGGATGAACTGCCGCTCCAGCTGTTTTTCGTGGATGTTTCGTCATGTTGTGTACCTGGAGTAAGAAAATAATACTTATTTGTAAAGTCAATATTTAATTATTTGTTATTATTTCAAGTGTTTTCTATGTGAATATGAAAGCGAATATGATAGTGTGATAGAGTATGATAGTTAATGTTATAGAGAACGTGGTAGTAAGTGTGATAATGAATGTGGTAGAGAGTCATAGTAAGGCTGTGTTGCACCATTTTACTTTAGCTTTGACAAAGGTCAAAAATATGTCAAACTCCAACCAAAAAACTCAGCATTAGTGTGATAGTGAATGTGATAAGAGAACGCGGTAGCGAATGTTATGGTAAGTGTGATTGTTAGTGACCGACCGAATATTCGTTTTCGTTTTCGGCCATTTTCGGCCAAAAAATGGACATTCGGCCATATTTTCGTTTTCGGCCAAAAACCAGCCGAAGCTTCGGCCAAACCGAATATAAGAAATACGTGAATAAGATGGTGACGTTTATCGTTCCGATATCTTCGGGAGTGTATCTGGTGCACTTATGATTCCAATCAGACTTGAACGGACGCGGTATTGTCACACTCTTTTGAAGTTGTGAAGTGAGGTTACGTTGTAAAGGGTGTCCAGCGAGAATTTTCCAAGTTCAAAATTGAATACAAATAAAACCAAAGAGTTTTAATTAAGTTTAATTGTTTCAAAATAGAGTCTAATGCGGATTTGAAATACGCCATGAGTCACTGGTCGGGAGCCTACAGAGCGTTCGCAGTATGTATTTGAAATGTATTGTCGAATGATCGATGAATGTCTGATACCACAACTGCAACTGCATCCCGGTCAATTACGTAACTCTATTTCAGCAAGAAGGTGTCTCACCACACACGGAGAGTACCTCGATGGAGACACTGAGGACTATTTTTTTTTAATAAATGATCAGCAAGTACAGGGACATACCCTAGCTGCCTCGGTCACCAGATCTCACACCATGCGTCTTTTTCTTGTGGGGATATCTCAAGTCAAAAGTTTACAGCAAACAATCCTTAAATAATTCAGGTTCTGTAAGAAAATATCCGCCGTGAAGTTGCAGGAAAATTATTAGCGCGATTTTCTCTCGCATAGTTGCGAATGTAAGGGTCCGGCTGTGAGAGTGCCTATAGTAAAACGGGCATCATTTAAAAGACATTGCCTATAACAATTAAATCCGCATTGTTAAACTCCAGTTTGCATTAGTAACAAATAATAAAAAATCATTAATTTATTTGTATTCATTTTTGAAGTTGAAAAATTCCCACTGGACACCCTTTATTTCTTCTTCACTTCCCAATATTTCATTATACACCGGAAATAGTATTCTAGTAAGAATTCATAATTATTTTTTTTGTGTTTTAATGCCGGTTTTCTTTAATCCATCCTTATCAAAATCAACTGTCAAACTTCATTATGTTTTTGGTCAAAACATTAACGGTTTTCAAAGTTTTTACATAATTTCAGATTGAAATTTGAGAGTTGAAGGTCATATTCGTTTTCGTTTTCGTTTTCGGCCGAAAATGAGACTGCAGCCGAAGCTTCGTTTTCGTTTCCGTTTTCGGCTGAAAATCCATATTCGGTCGGACACTAGTGATTGTGAATGTTATAGACAATATGATAGTGAATGTGGTTGAGAAAGTGATCGAAGGTTTAATTGTGAACGTGACTGTGATAGTTCAAAATCCAAAATATTTATTCAAATTAGACCACAAGTGGCACTTATGAACGTCAAAATATAGTAAATAATGAAAAAGGAAAGGTAGCCCTTATGGGCACTTTACATGTCTCCTTATCTTTTGGGCCCTACCGGCGCTTCGAGACAAACATATGCTTGCTATATGGTAGGGCGCTGGTAGGTAGCAATAGTGCTGGGAAGAAAGTTAATTTTGAGGCTAAGTTCATTCGCTGCCACTCACCGGCAGTCCACACGGCGTGGTTCCTCTCAGCCACCCAGACCAGGTCAGGCATGCCGGCGGCGAGGATGGCCTGCTTCTCTGCCGGCGGCAGCAGCGGCAGGCACCGCTCCGCGAAGTGCGGCACGTGCTCGTCCGCCGCGTCGATCAGCGCCGGCTCCTCGCGCGTCAACTGAAGCTTCTCGAGCAGACACTTTGTTTCCCTGGAAACAAACGACACAGTCACAAAAACATTACCTAACTGTTGGTTGCATCATAACTTTAATGGTGCGTCCACACTGGGCGAAAGGGCTCGCGTGGCAAACTCGATATCATGGTCATTCAAGAGCAAGGTGAGCAGGATGACCAGCGTGCCGCGCGAGCCCGTTCGCCCAGTGTGGACGCACCATAACGACATCAAACGTCAAGCCTGTCAAATTCCATACAAAAACACCGGTTAAAGTTATTGTTAAGGTGACGCAACTCAGCCTAAGTTGTAACTGAAATGCTAGCACTATTGAAATATTGAGGAACTTGGGTATAAAATCAGATAGCGGAGAGAATCTCACTCAATAGAGGCTTAGGATTAGCACCGGCATACAATGAGTTCATATTATTATCACATGTGTTGTGTCATTATCCTGATTCAATAGAATAAGATGATTCTGAGATGAGTCTTTTAGGAATGAAGTACACAAGCCCAAATACAGGAACTATTAAGACCAGGCTAGGTAAAATTGGTCCAAAGTCTTTACATCTGTCAAACACAATACAAAAGATTAACCCGGTCCGTGAGCACGTAGAATTTTGTCCAATGACCCCTAGCTACCCATCCTTTTCGCTTGCGCGTAATTATATTGCTGTCGCGACTGTGCGACTGGCACCCGCAATGAGTGTGCGAGCGCGACAGCAACATAATTACGCGCGAGCGATAAGGATGGGTAGCTTGGGGTCATTGGACAAAATTCTACGTGCTCACGGACCAGACTATAGCTCTGTTAAGTGAACATCCTAAATTCTTTGCTCACTTGAGGATGTGAACAGCCAACCGACGCGGGTAGGCCTTGCACTGGCACAGCATAACGAGTCCCAGGGCTTCGGCGCCGCGCACCACTGACGCCAAAGGCTCCAGCTTGCCGGGAGCGGCGGCGGCGGGCTCGCCGTTCTTCCAGCTCGTGATCAGCTGCAAGAGCATGCGAAGGCCATTCTCCACCAGTTGGGGCGATGTGTCCTGTGGGAAGAAATAAGAGCTGAAAGCTACAGTCATATTCATTTTCGCAAGATGAAGCAAACACTTAGGCCCAGAACAGACGGTGAAACGCAACTGCAACATGACATGACGCGACCAGTTTGAAACTTTCAAACCGGACGCTATGGCAGAAACTTAGATGCAACTCAAAAGCCTAGTTGCAGTTTCGTTGCAGTTGCGTTTCACCGTCTGTTCTGGGCCTTAGAGCGGATTCTATCTGCTTAGAATAGATAAGCCATTCAGAAGACGTCGTTTCGTTGATGGATCTTTTCATGGGGTAATAAAACCTGTACTTTCCTGTTCAGGAATTAAAGAAAGACTAGTTAGGTGGGCACAGACGGCGACACGTCAGTGGGATCTTATACCGTTGTAAAAGGAGCGAATTAGCAACAAAAATGGGTACAGGACTCAGATCATAGAAGGGAATAGATGTGAAACGGGGGCGTGGCGCGTGTCTCCGCGATATGCCCAGAAACGAACATCGGCCGCGTAGCTAGGTTAGTCGCGATTCAGTCGTACTAAGGAAATGTTCTCCGATATTTTGGATAATGCGTCGTTACGTGCAATAAAACAAGTGAAACGAAGAACTACAGGAACAATGGAGTCATTTACTACATGTAAGTATTGCAAATCCATTGGTATTTTGCTTATAAATAAAAAAAACTAAACATTTTCACGAACGAATTCAGTGCCGTAACAGTTACTGCGATATCGATATCAGTGGTGATAAAAATTCTAACACGCTTGTACATTGACGATTTAGTTAGCAACCACTTTATGTCATGCTCAACTACTGCGCAATGTATTTAATTTCTTCCGATATCCACTGTCGTGTGAAAATACACAGTACGGCCGCATGTGCCGGTCGTAACATAGTGCCGTGCTCGTGTTCTAATGCGGTTTCCTATTATCGATAAATAGAAGTAAATTATAATTTTCTATTTTGTAATTTTAAATAAAAAAATGATGTGTTACTTGCGATTATAAGATTTTACAAAAAAATAATAACAGTAGAAGTAATTAGTAACTGTCAACTATGTAATTACTAATTATAAGAGCTAGTTGAAAGCCTAATATAGGCATTATTTTTGATAAAAATATGCGGTACGCAGATCGCCATAATTAAAAAATAAATGCGTGATATTAGTTAATAATAACGTATAATAATAAAAAGGTTTTCATACATAAGCATTTTGTGAAACCAGTTTCGAGCCTTGCCCCTAGCGATTTAAAGTATCGATATCTTGTCGACTCCATTTTATCTTTGTTCTCTCACTAGCGTTTTCTATGTGTGCGTCACGTCACGCGGCCATTGATTGGCCATAAGGCACGCCTTCTGGCCAATCACAGCACTTTTAAGCCGGTTGCACATGTTGTCGTAGACTCTCAGTCGCTTTGTTTTTACACAGTTGAATGTGTGTGTGGGAGCTGTGGTGGGGGAAATGTGGGGACACTGGTTCTCGTTGTAGTTACGCGCGACTTCATATCTATTCTCTTTCTATGATCTGAGGGTACAGGACTATTCCCACCTCTCGTTTCCACCGCTGCAAATCCTGTGTAGCTAGAATTTACAACGTGGCCGTGATAAAATCCCAACCAATGAAGGTCAAGTTTGTCCCGGGGGAAAGTTAAACTGTCATTGGACCCGCAACGAAATTAATCAAAAGAACATAGGAGGAGTTAGAAGTTAAGGTTCGACTTCCCTTCATTGCAAAGTGAATGACAGCTAGGTTGAAAAGATTTAGTAACCTTAAAGGTTAAGGAATTATTTCTTAAGGCTGGTTTTAGAATCGCGCTGACCGCTCGCTGATCGTCGGCGCTGACAGATCAATATGTATGTAATTGAAGGGAACGTTCCTGAGTGACGCTGATCGCTCGGCGCCGACGCTTCATACATATCGGCCTTCAGCGCTGACGGTCAGCGTGCGTCAGCGTGACTCTAAAACTAGCCTAAGAAAGGTTGGCTAACAAAAATGGGTAGTCTATACCAGCGGTTCCCGAATGGTGGTCCGTGGAACCCTGGGGTACCGTGGAAAGGCCGCAAGGGTTCCGTAAAAAATATTATCCCACGTTTCGTGACCGACGTTGTTCGCTCGCTCCGACTTGTTTACGCACCAGGGAGGGGCAGGGCGTGCGGGCGGAGTAGTACGGGGGTTCCGCTAGGAAAAGTATAATCAATTAGGGTTCCTTGGCAAAAAAAATTGGGAAACCCTGGTCTATACAACGCTTGGGCTCATCAGCTGGGTTCCTACCTGCACCTCCTTGGCCAGGAACTGCGTGAAGCCCGCCAGCACGTCCTGGCGCCACTCGGGGAAGTCCACGATGAGCGTCTGCAGGCTCTGGAACGACAGGCCGCGAAGCTCTTCGTCCATGTGCACCGTCAGCCGGCACAGCAGGTCCACCAGCTCGCTGGAGCTCATGCCTTCCGGGATCAACCTGGAAATTCCAATAAAATCTAATATTCCGCTCGTGTAAAGTTACTGTTGAGAGGTTGGATTCTCGTTTCAAACACTGCAATTCTTGTGTACCTTATACAGAAGCTCAAAGTTGCATAGCATGCTATGGAGAGGGCTATGCTCGGTGTTTCTTTACGAGATCGAATCAGAAATGAGGAGATCCGTAAACGAACTAAAGTCGCTGACATTGTCCGACGGATTAGCAAGCTGAAGTGGCAATGGGCAGGGCACATAGTACGCAGAACTGACGACCGATGGGGCAGCAAGGGTGGAGGCCGCGTACCGGAAAACGCAGCGTGGGACGTCCACACACAAGGTGGACCGACGACATCATAAAGGTAGCAGGGAAGCGCTAGACGCAGGCCGCTACCAATCGATCAACATGGAAAACATTGGGGGAGGCCTATGTTCAGCAGTGGACGTCCTATGGCTAAAATGATGATGATGATGAATTCTTGTGTAGCCAGAATCTACAGGTAGACCGTCAATAAAAACTTAATTAGTGAAGGCCAAATTTTACTGTTATTGAACCCCCAAAATGAATCGGAAGTAAATAGGAGAGGTTCCAGTAAGGGTCGACTTTCCTCCGATGGAAAGCCGATGACAAATAACAAAGGTTATAAAAAGAATATCCTCATTTACTTCTGGTCAACTAGAAGGTCGTAGTACTTCTGCAGTGAAGACCAAATAACCTGAGGTGGAATTGTGTAAAGCAATCGTTACCATCTGACGGTTCATAACGTACGAAACGACGGTTCATAAAGTCAGCTAAACAAAGCGTTTGACAGAATAATCGTACGTTATGAACTGTCAAATGAAAATGAAAATGATATTTATTTAGTCCAAAAATATTACAGTACATGATCTGGTTACTGTTACATTCAGAATAAAAACGGATTACAATTTATACAGTAAGTATGTACTAACAGCATCACTGGACTCCACACTAGGATTCCCTGTGTCGTGGAGACCAGTCTTCCCATTGAAATTTCGAGATAAAGTGCGTGCATGACTTTGTATTTTGAAAATTTTAACTAACTTGAACTAACTTAACTAACTTGATAACGATTGCTTTACACAATTGCACCTCAGATGATCAAGAACAGAAATACACCACTGAAAATGAAACTTTACCTCGGTATAGCGGCGACGCAGGTCCTGAACAGGTCGATCCTTGGCTTCCTCTCGCCCGTATTGATCTCCTGCTCCTTGGTGACGTTCTGCGTGTTGGTCAGCATAAGTGGGCGGCCATAGTGAGCGTCCAGCGCGCGCAAGATTTCGACGAGCACGCGCCGCACGTACGGGAAATACGCGCTCATGCCGATGGAACGCGCCGTCTCGTCTGTGAGCATCTTGTTCAGGAAGGTCTTCTTGACGCGCAGCGTGTTGCCGGACGGCAGCGTGCCTGACGTCCTGGTGAAGTGTTCAAGTTTTGCAGATTTGGCAAGCAGGTATACTAAGGTGAGTCTACTGAAGACTATAAAATTGACGCAGATTCGCAGCAGACGGTGCAAGAAAACGTGCTAATGAGACAGCGCATATCATGCATTTTCTGCAAATTCTTTTACCTGTGGCCATTTTAGCGATTAATCACACTGCATTCACATTACCCTTTATCAATATTTCAGTAAGTTGCCCGCACGCGTCTTTTTAAAAAGTGATTTCTCGCCATATCTACCGCGAGTCTTTACGTCGCGTTGACAACAGCAGCCTAAGTAGATTTTTAACAAATAGGACTATGAAACTGAAATAGCTCTTTTACTCCTTAATTCAAGGAAACATGCGATGTATTTATTTTTGTTTCCTCACAATTCACAGTTAAAGCAAGTTGGATAGTTCGAAACAGACAACATCGAAGGGAGCAGAGCAGCATCTCTTGTGACTCACCTAGGCATGGGCGGTTCCCCTTCCTTCTGCTGCAAGCTGTCCGCCACAACAAGAAACGCTCGCAGCCCTATTGACATCCTCTCCGGAGTCAGTATGATCTTGATCTGTCTCCCGACCATGAGCAGATCAAATACGATCTCTCTCATGGCGAAGTCCAGCCTCTCCTGGGCGATGAACTGGATGATCTTGACGAAGATGTTGAGGGGCGTGTCGCGAGGGACCACGCCCTTGGAACCCTTGGGGAACAGCGAGTTGACGATGCTTTGCAGGCGCGACTGCGTGGCCGAGTTGCTCTCGCACTTGATGCGGATCATGTATACCCAGAGCAGGCGGTAGAGCGATTCTGTTGAACGAAACAAATGATTAGGGTGATGAACATGATGAAGCTATTCATGGTGATGGTGATCATGGTAATGATAGTGGTGATGACGGAGGTGATGATGGATGGTAGTGATTTGGTAATTATGGTGATCAGAGTAACGATGGTGGCGATCTTGGTGATAATGGTGATGATCATGATGATAGTGGTGATCATGGTGATGATGGTGGTGATCATGGTGATGGTGGTGATGATCATGGTGATGATAGTGGTGATCATGATGATGTGATGATGGTGGTGGTGGGTGATTATGGTAATTGAGGTGGTGGGTGATTATGGTAATTGTGGTGGTATTCATGGTAATGATAGTGATCACCACATCATCATTATGGTGATGTGATGGTGGTGGTGGTAATATTGGTGATGGTGGTGGTAATCATCATGGTAACGATAGTGCTGATCATGGTGAGGTGATAGTGGTGGTGTACATGGTGATGGTGATAATGATAACGTGGTGGTGATCATGGTAATGGTAGTGATGATCATGATAATGATGGTGGTGATCATGGTGATGGTGGTGGTGATAATTTTGGTGATATTGGTATTGATCTTGGTTATGATGGAGCTGATGGTGGTGATTATGGTGATCATATTGGTGATGATCGTGGTGATCTTGGTGATGATGAATAAATATTTTGGTGGTGATCATGGTGATGATCGTAGTGATTTGACTATTATGGTCCCCACGTAGGTGACAACGGTGAGTAATTATGATGAAAATGGTCTCCGCTTTGATACCTTTATAAAACCACTCACCAAGCGCCACGCGGCACATCTTGGGGTCCCTATTCTTCAGATGCGACAGGCACATGGCGAGGAAGCAGTGCCAGTTGGCGAGGAAGAACTGCTTCTGCGAGACGCACAGCAAGTACGTGACAAGCGGGAACAGCGCCAGCCGGTGCTTGGACTTGGTGGACGCGTCCAGCGTGTGGCTGTACAGCATCTCCACGAAGTTCTTCAGGCACGGCACGTTCACCTCGTTCTTTACCGTCTGCGGGGAGAAATCATTTTGTACATCTGTCTTTGAATAAGAATACTTCATACAGCGTAAAAAATACAGTACATAACATTTCTCCTATGTTGAAGAGGCGCCCGCTCAGCAATATCCGCGACATAAAACAAACGTTATTCTCTCACGGCGGTGATTTAAAATCGCGCCGTGAGTTCTTAGAATAACCGCGCAAATAACTGCTCCCGTGAGTTTTGAAATAAAACCGCAATTCCACAACCGCCGCGGGCGCGGGTGAAAATCGCGCCGTGAGTTCTTAGCCTAAGATAGTGGCCACAAATAACAAAACGCAGCTTTCTAAACACTGCCCGGCAAAGTTGTCATTGCGGGTAGCTTTAGTGAACTGTCGACCATTGAAGTGTTTATTACACAATTGGCCCCATATCTTTCTTCTGCTCAGTAATCTTTACAAAGGGGGTTTGAGGGATCAGCAACATCCCAAATCAGATTACACCCAGCACCTGTCTTATTAGTTACAGGCACGCTAAAACTTACGCGGGCACCCTTGCCCTTCTTTGCTTTTGGGTGCAGTTTGATATGTTTTCGTCTGTACATAGATTAGACAACTTGACTTACTTGACTAAGGTCCTATGTCCCCTAGATGGGGCAGAGGGCGTCCACAACAGTCCTCCATCGCATTCGGTCTTGAGCTTCGCGTTTGATCTCGCTCCAAGTCTTGCCGATCTTTTTCGCCTCGCCTGCCACAGTGCGCCGCCAAGTTTGCTTGGGGCGACCACGTTTGCGTTTCCCTTGGGGGTTCTAATCCAGAGCCTGCTTGGGGATTAGACAAGGCAGGGTAAACACTCACCGCTGCGACAGGCACGAGTATCTCCACGAAGAGCCCGGCGAGTGCATGTCGGATGTCTTTGTCCTTGGCCTCGAGGAAGTACTGTGCGCACTCCTGCAGGAACTGAAACGACGCCTCGAACTCCTCGATGGGCACCATCTTCACGCGGAAGAACTTCATGCCCATCAGCAGCGAGATTATGCTCTGAGTCGTGTGTGGAGATGGCTCGCGGCTTTTCAACTCCTGGAATGATTTCGGCGAGTTTAAAACTTTAAATTCGTGACCTTTTCAAGGCGAGAGTGAATAGGCACTTACAGGGCAGATATGTACCATCCTAGACTGCATCCGACTTAACATCAGGTGCGATTGCGGTCAAATACCTGCCTTGTTATGCATAAAAAAAAATATGCACACTATAAAAAAGAAAAAATTGGGGTCATATTTACATATTATTAAACTGGTTGAAAGCTGGTTGACACAAATATGTTTAAAATTAGTATTCCCAATCAGAATGGATGAAGATTGTCATCTGACAATAAATAATGCTAACATTTGTTTTCCTCAGGAATATCTTATACATGTTGTGCACTGATGATTATTTGGAACGAGTAATGCATCAAGCGTAATATGTTCCTGGTAAAATTATGCGAGTTGCAGACCAAGAGTTAAGGTAGTTTAGTTTAGCTCGTAAAGCACAGTACCCTATAGCTGTTGATTGCATAGTTTACACACAACTATGGAAAATTGAAGTGTCATAAATCTGGGACTACAGCCAGCAAAGAGCTGGCGTCGCGTCGAAGATGCGCGGGCGACTGGCAAACGACGATTCTCGAAAGACGCTAGCTGTGGGGTTCGAGACTTATCCCACTATAGAATAGAATAGAATAGAATACCTTTATTCAGCATTAACATTTATATGCATACATGTACTGAGGAGGTTAAATTACTGAGCCATGCTGAAAAGGCGCCCGCTCAGCGAAAATCGTGACATGACACAAGTCGTCAAGTTGGTTTTCAGCGGGTACCAACATGGGGGTTATTATTCTACGCCAGATATGCGCCCTTTTGACAGTGACGGTTCATCGATAAAATTCGTGTCGATTCGTAACACTTCCTGGCAAAAAGGCGCGCAACAGAGGGCGCTGCAGTTACAATAAAATATCAATTTATTTAAACTTTCCCACCACTGCAACTCCTGTATAGCCAATTTATTTAAACAAACCACCCAGTACACTTTCCCACCACAGCAACTCCTTTATAGCCAGTATCTACAGCTTATCAGTGTGGTTCCCTAAAGGATATTTGCATACGAATATAGCTACGAGCATACCTTGAGCTCGGCGGTGAAGCGCTTCTTGACGGAGGCGAAGCGCGACTGCGCCAGCACGCCGATGACCTCCGCGTAGAGGTCGGCGATGATGTGCACGTTGGCGGCGTTCGGGTTGGACTGCAGCCTGCACACAACATAAGTGCCCAATTAGTACACAGTATAGGGAGTAAATAACTCTCCGAAGGGACCCCGATCACATCCCTAAGCAGGCTCTGGATTGGAATCCCCAAGGAAAACGCAAACGTGGTCGACCCAGGCAAACTTGGCGGCGCACTGTAGCGGACGAGGTGAAGAAGATCGGCAAGACTTGGAGCGAGATCAAGCGAGAAGCTCAAGACCGAACGAGATGGAGGACTGTTCTGGACGCCCTCTGCCCCATCTAGGGGACATAGAACCATAAGTCAAGTAAGTCATAGGGAGTAAAGCCGTGTGGTGACGGCAGAGTAGAATACATTTGTCACCAACCCCTACTCCTCCCGCAGGTGTCGTAAGAGGCGACTTAGGGACTACACATCAAACAGAGAATGGGCAGCAGCGCTCTCTGAAAAACATCAATCTTTTAAACTGCGATCTCCAACCCGCCTGCCAAGCGTGGGGATTATGGCAAAACCTCAGATCATAGAAGGGAATAGATGTGAAACGGGGGCGTGGCGCGTGTCTCCGCGATATGCCCAGAAACGAACATCGGCCGCGTAGCTAGGTTAGTCGCGATTCAGTCGTACTGAGGAAATGTTCTCCGATATTGTTGGATAATGCATCGTAACGTGCAATAACATAAGTGAAACGAAGAACTACAGGAACAATGAAGTCATTTACCACATGTAAGTATTGCAAATCCATTGGTATTTTGCTTATAAATAAAAAAAACTAAACATTTTTACGAACGAATTCAGTGCCGTGACATTTACTGCGATATCGAAATTAGTGGTGATAAAAATTCAAACACGTTGTACATTGACGATTTAGTTAGCAACCACTTTATGTCATGCGTAACTACTGCGCAATGTATTTTATTTCTTCCGATATCCACTGACGCGTGAAAATACACAGTACGGCCGCATGTGCCGGTCGTAACATAGTGCAGGGCTCGTGTTCTAATACGGTTTCCTATTATCGATAAATAGAAGTAAATTATTATTTTCTATTTTCTAATTTTGAATGAAAAAATCATGAGTTGCTTGCGATTTTTAAGTTTTTACAAAAACAATAACAATAGTAGAAGGGATTAGTAACTGTCAACTATGTAATTACTATAAGAGCTAGTTGAAAGCCTAATATAGGCATTATTTTTGATAAACATAGGCGGTACGAATTTCGCCATAATTAAAAAGTTAATGCGCGATAGTAGTTAATAATAATTACAGTGATCCTGTTATTATTATTAAAGTAAATAATAATATATTACCAATATTGTAAATACTGGTAAAAATCGCAAGTACCTACTTAACCCATGACTTTTCATACAAACTTTGTCAGTCTATAACTTCTATACTCCATCGATAACGACATTGAGCTTTGGTTGGGGTAAATTAATATAAGGTAACTTCATTTAGTCCCAATAATTGATTCTGAGTTTTTCGTCCATACAAAATGGAACTGACTCCTTTATGCAAAAATCGTTAAAGAACATAATAATAACGTATAATAATAAAAAGGTTTTCATACAAGCATTTTTTAAACCAATTTCGAGCCTTGCCCCCAGGATTTAAAGTATCGATATCTTATCGACTCCATTTTATCTTTCTTCTCTCTAATTGCTTTTTTCAAAGTGTGCGTCACGTCACGCGGCCATTGATTGGCCATAAGGCACGCCTTCTGGCCAATCACAGCACTTTTAAGCCGGTTGCACATGTTGTCGTAGACTCTCAGTCGCTTTGTTTTTACACAGTTGAATGTGTGTGTGGGAGCTGTGGTGGGGGAAATGTGGGGACACTGGTTCTCGTTGTAGTTACGCGCGATTTCATATCTATTCTCTTTCTATGATCTGAGGGCAAAACCCTCCACTATAGTGGAGAAGGCTTATAGTCCAGCAGTGGACTGTAAAGGGCTGTTGATGATGATAGGGAGTACACACACTATTACGTATGTTCGTTCGTTTCAGCCAAATAACGTCCACGGCTGGACAAATGCCTCTCAAGGATTTCCACAACTATCGATTCTGCGCTGCTTGCATCCAGGTACTTCTTGTGACCTATTACATAAGACAGCTAGTGTTTGAATCAAACACTACACAATCGGAGTGCGTACTCGCCGGCCGAGGAGCGATCGAGCGAGCGCTAACGTACCCGCTAACCTGTACAAAACAACTTGCACACACAGGGTGATGACTACGAATGCGGTCGTACTTGGGCAGAACTCGACATGGAGCTAAGTAAATGTGAATTTAGAACTTAGAACCCGAGAAGAACTTGGTCGCGAAATAATATTTCTTTGAATGGGATTAAAATATAGACCAAAACTAAAAAGACGGTGAAGTGAAAGACGGTCGTGACTACGCCGATCAAAATGGCGCGAATATTTGTTATGTGCAACTTTAGGGCCCTGTAACTTCTTTATTTTTAGAGATATTTTCATGATTCTTTCACAATGAGGGCTATCGTTTTTATACTTAACAGTTGGCACCCCTGGCGATTGACAGGACCTTACTCTACAGTGGCGCCATCTTGATGAGTGCAAATGCGATAGTCCTCCTACCACTTTCACGCTCACCAGTTGGTGCCACTGTCTTCGCTACTAGCAAGCGACAGGACCTTACTCTACAGTGGCGCTAACTGGTGAGCGCTAAAACGATAGCCCTCATTATTATTAGTTTTACTTATATTTTCAAGTTTTTTTAAAAGAAAAAAATTTGAAACTTGTCCATTATGTGGTGACATTGATGCGGCTTGTGTTTGGCACTCACCCCTCCTTGTAATTGAACCGCTTGAAGGCGACGTTCTCGATGTAGTTCACCAGGTCCTCGTGGCCGGGGTGGAAGGGCAGTTGCTTGAGCACCTCGATGAGCGCCAGGCAGAACAGGAACTCCACGGCCAGGTCGCGCCGCTCCGCCTGCAGCTCCTCGCAGGAGCGCTCCACCGCCTCCGTGCCGGCTCCGCTTCCCGACACTATGTAGATTATGCTGGAACACACATATTATGTGGAAATTACATATCGTCGTTTAAGTTCTATCACCACGTAAGTCATTTTTGGCGGTTTTGCCATTTTGATGCCATTCGCTAGACTCTAGCTAGCGGCTAGAGAATCGAAAGACGCGTCTTTTCGTCCAATTTCTGTCTTCAATGCAATAGACACCACCTATCCCTCCATGTCATAATATAGTATAAACTTATTTCACCCGTGCATGAGTTGCTTGTTCTTGGTTGTCATCTGTCTACTATTTTATAGAGCTTAGAGAGTTTGAACTGTATAAAAATATGTTCAAGTTTCACGTAAATAATGTTAATTGATGTTTCTGGGCGGGCTGCGCCCTTCTGCTAAACTGGCATCCGCAGAATACCAGTGGTCGTGACGTGCTCTCTGCCGTCACGGCTTATACTGAGCAGATGCCATTTTGGTGCGTGTACTCTGTTTTTAGTGTTTAAGTTGTTATTTATTTGTAACGCTTTTAATACTCGCATCAAATAAATACTTTCTTTCTTTCTTTCAATTTCCTGAAAAGTTGCTAAAAATGACTTACGTGGTGATAGAACTTAAACGACGATATTCATGTAGATTATAGAGGGTGTTGTGAACCAAAATGTGGACTGTATTTTTGCGTCTGAATAAAAGATAGAGAGATGCGAGATCGAACAGAATAATATCCACTAAAAAACAACAAAAGACAAAAAGTACAAAGATGACAATGACACTGAGAATTTGGATTTTACAAATCTATAGGCCGAAAGAGTAGAAGGAGGATCGTTCGCCACAGGGGGACAGAGATAAATTACAAATATGAACACAATAGGTAGCCGAATTTTGAAGGTCGGACTGGCTGACTCGTGATCTGAGGAACACGGGATCAAATGGACTGTTATAGTGAATCCACTAATAGTCGTAAAAAAAGTATTCACCACGAGAGGTTAACAGGATGATTAGTTAAAATGAGATACTTAACTAATATTCTTTTTAAGAAAACATAACCCTCCTACTGGAGGACACAGTCGCGCTGCTTTATCTCAGGCCATAATTATACTGTCCCAAAGAAGCCGTAGGATTAAAATAATACTGGGACATGTAGAAACACTTTTACAGAGGAAACTTATAGATTATAAAGCTGTAAGTTCAAATAAATTGGTAGGAGCCGCACTGTAGATAAATTAAGCATAGGTGGAACTAGGAAGAACATTCTATGCTCAGAAAGAAAAATATTAATTGGTGAGTGAACCGCTACTCGGTAGGCCCTGCTTTTCTAGCCAGGAGGGTTCTACATAACCATTAACACCCTGTCTAACTAGTCTTATTTTTAAATTTCACCTTGTAACGTCCAATATTCTGCTAGTAGCAGAAATGTAGCAGCGGTTTAACAGAGCTGCATCACCTGTTTAGCCTCGTTTATTACAGTTTCAGAATTGAGATGTTTGGCTTGAGAATAATCTTTTAATCTATACTAATATCTATACTATTTATACTAATATTATAAATGCGAAAGTAACTCTGTCTGTCTATCTCACTTTTACGCCTAAACCACTGAACCGACTTTGATGAAATTTGGCAGGGAGATATTTTGAGTCCCGGGAAAGGACATAGGATAGTTTTTATCCCGGTTTTGAAACAGGGACGCGCGATAAAGTTTTTCTGTGACAGACAAAATTCCACGCGGGCGAAGCCGCGGGCGGAAAGCTAGTCAAGTATAAATTCACATTACACTAATTATTGACTAAAAAAAGAGCACGCTCAAGCTGGTAATCTCAACTCAGAAACGGGTCACAGATTAAAACGGTTTACGGATTAAAACCAACATGTTACCTCTTGTTCCTCAGGTCCTGATGCGGCTTCTTGGCCTGCTCGCTAAGCTGCGGTGAGTCGGCCATCTGGCGCTCCAGCCAGCCGAACAGCGCGCGAAGCAACGAGGGCAGGCAGTGCTCGGCCAGCGTGCCGAACGCGCACAGAATCTGATCCAGCTGCGGGTCTTCGCCGCGCTGTAGGGTCTTGTTCAGCGGTTTCTCCTGCAGGTGATATCACCCAGGTGAACAAAGTGGAATAATCTAACACAGCACACCCGCAGGGTTGCATGATTTAAATCACGATTTATATTGCATGATTTTTTTAAATAAAAATCACTGATTTAAATCAAAGGCCGAAAATGGAATTAATGAAAGGCTGGGGGTTTATATTAATCAACTGTAATGTTCGAAAACAATGTTAATAATAGGTGTTAATGTATGAAATTGATGTTTTGTATAGAGAATCAGAAAAAAATATTTTTCCGTACAAACAAGTTTGCGATTTTTTAGATAACCACACAATTTATTTTTTTTGGTGGTGTTGCCAGCTCTATACATCAATTCTACGTAAATATAAATGTTTTCCGTAAGAAAAACTAAAGAAATGATCGCAAAACGTAATAAAAATCGAAAAGTCAAATAAATAAAAAAAATCGTGATTTTTTTTTTAAATCTGATTTTTTTTATTAAAATAAATAAATTATGATTTTTTTCCACCCTGCCCACACGGCTCACTGACAAGCCCGGGAAACAGTCGCCCCTTGCTACACATGTAGAAAAAGCTGGCCATCAAAAGGACCACACTCAAAATAAAACTCTTGGCCTACTTTAGATTTAACATATTAGTATTGTTAATTGGTTCACTCTATACATATAAAAAATCTTACATTTTCGTATAGTAACAATAATAACGGCCTTATTTAATTAACGATATTACTATGAGGTGTGAGACCTCATAGTAATATCGTTAATTGTGATGAGTGCACGTGGACGCACAGGGTGACACAAGAAACAATCACAGAGCTCTATTCAACGCTGTGCGTTCGATTTGCTGCTTCACTTAAGCAAGCATCATTTGTGAATACAGTCGTGAGTCTCATTGATACGCACCACTCAGTGACAAGCCCCAAGGAAGCAGGTGGGCTCAGTGTCCCATGTAAAAAAAATGGCCCCAAAAGGATCAGACTCAAAACTAATATGTCCACTTTAGATTCCATAGTAAATAATACACAGTATGGGTAACTTTGCCCTTCTGTATCATTGACACAAAATTGCTGAATGACTTGAGTTGAGACTGTATGTTTTTTCTATTTCAGAAAAGCTTTGTGAATAACAATAAAACATTTATTTCAAAGGAAAAAGTAAAAAGAAAATGAGAAAAAAAAAATGTGTTGAAACTTTGGTAGGGTGTTTTAAGAATGCCAGTGAACGTTCCAAGCTCAAAGGAATTTAGTAACAGCTAGTATTTCATAACAACCCTTTGCTCACTCAATATTTTAAAAACACTTAAAACTTTTAGAGCAAAAATTCATACCAGTGGTTCAGCCATAACAACTTCCATCTTCCGTTCAGCCTGGACTGTGAACTCGGTGAACAGCAGCCTCATGACAAACTCCCCGGGACGCATGTCCGCATCGGGGGGCGCCATCACGGGGCCTTTGTGCGGGCCCCATGGGAGCATCGACCCTACAGAAAATACAACTCTAATCAGTTTATTATCGGGCAGCGCAGGACCGTTCATTGTGGAAAACCTTGGGGGAGGCCTTTGTCCAGCAGTGGACGTCATTTGGCTGAAACGAACGAACGAACGAACGAATCAGTTTATGTACATGCACATTTGCACATAACTCAAAAAGAAATGTGTGTGCATTAAAAATACCAATCAATTGTGATTACATCTGCTGTTTGATAACAGACAATGATAATTTAATGTTAAAACATAAAAGTTGATCATTACAGCAGATAAAATATTAATTGTTTGTAAAATTAAGTCACAATATTTTTATGTAAAACAATACAAGCAATCAAGGAACAATAAAAGAAAAGACTGGATTGATGACATTAAAGCTGAGGCATCTGACACAAGAATGAAGGTCGCGGAATGCACCTAGATACTAGAATATTTAAATTAATAATGTAATTTATAGATGAATTTATTTACCCCGAGTGGAAGTAAATGATGAGATGTTGCTGTTAGTTCTCCAGTCACTTGTGATAGAACTCAGTTTGTCTTGAAGGATGTGGCTGTCGTTGAAAGATCTGTCAATGTGGCTGCTTTGTGACTCCATATATTCATGCCGAGGCACTTCTGAGAGGACGCTGCCTTCCGACTCGGCCTCACTTGACACCATTGATGATGGAGCATCGTCTGTGCCTGAAGCTGTAAAAATATTTCAATAGCTTTAAGTCGTTAAGATAATTCAAATCAAAAATAAAATAATAAACATTTTCTGAGTCATGCATATCAAGGTAGATAAATTTAAGAATGTCATTTTGCAGTTAAATGAACAAAACAATAACAACTACAAGGTTATAAAGCTAATAAAATATTAACAGCTTTTTTTTTACATTTTATGTAAAAAATTACTTGTTATTAAATTTATGTACAGTACCTGACATCTCTTCAGGGTGTCCATCCGACGGAAGCGTGTTTAATGAATCAGTTTCCTCAGAGTTCATGATTTGCACTCAGTAAACACTCCTTTAGCTGTTGTTAACTTTATTTTCCTGGAACAATTTTTAAATATACATTCAGTTTTGTATAAACAAGCTATTTCTCAAGTACAATAATGCAATATTTACAAAAGCTAATATTGTAATTTGCCTTCTACTACTAACACTAACCTTTTTGGGAGTTACATGATAGTCTTCTGTGCAGATATTATTCCTAAAACAATAGAAAAACATTTCATCAGGGAGGTCACACTGTGGGCCGTAATATCCCAGACCTGGCCAAAAACAAAATAAAATAAAGAAGAACATTTCCATTCCCAAAGTGCATATTTTAAATGTACCATCGCAAAGCATTGAACCAGAGCCATACATTTAAGAGAAGAGGCACGAGCAGCTAAAGCTTGAACAGTTAAACAATCGCATAGCAAATTTAAGAAATAAATTTTCTAGATCACTACTAGCATTCAATGCTTACTCCAACTCAGATTCATTGTTAAAGTATTAATTGAATTTGTTTTTAAGTCTTGTACCATAAATAAATCGAGACGTAGGTAAAAGATAAGAATTTAAGATTGTTATTACATGAGTCAATTGAACAAAACAGAAATTATTGGCACTTTTCCTGATGAGTAATATGAATTACTAATCATTAAAACTTGAACCTAGTAATAATTGAAATATCACTTTGACTGCAATTGGTTAATTTAATTTTAGTTGTAATCTCATTGTAATACCAATTTGTAAGTACAGGCAGGGGAGGAGGATTCACACTACTAAGATTATTTAATTATAGGTATTCATTGGCGAGAAAGAAACATTACCCAGACATGGAAATCTTGGAGTTCAGATTGAGTTCAAATTTATATCTACAAAAAAATTTGGTACACTATATTCACAGTGACAAACTATCGAGTACATGGTACGTAAAAGATAAATAGTAGTATCGATATTCACAAGCATACATCAAAATACCTTTAGCACTTAAAATCTTCGATAGAATAGGTTAAAACAGATGACACAAAGGCCATCATTTAAAACACTTGCTGCAGCAGGAAATAATGTGATAAATTAACTTATATTGAATGAATAACTGTACGAAAACAAATTGAAATGATGAGCTAAATTCACAATCACTCAGACAGACTCTTTAGACATACTCTCTAATCTGTGGACAGACTTGTCGCCGTTGTCGCAAATTAACTTTTTTGACACTTGAAATTACTAATTTATTATGCAACCACGTAAGAATGGCGCATCTGTAACAATACCGGCAACAGATTGTAAGGGTCAATGTAAATTGATCGATTTATAATTTGTCTATGGTATTACAAACGGAGCGTTTTGACAAGCATACAGTTCCGAATTCATTACTTAACGAAAACTTATCTCTTTTTATTTGTGCAAAATTTTTCTGTTTGTTGTTTGTAGGCTTAGGACGTTATTTAAACATCGCAAAATATCGGTTGGTGCTGCCCCTTGGACAAGTTTCCAATCGTGATAGTTTTAATTTCGAAAATATTTTTTATAACAATTCTGAAACGTCAAGTGCACTTATCGGAACTAATAACGCAGTGAACGCAGTATTGATTGTAGCGCCCTCCTGTAAATATCATGAAAACTTCAGTGTTGTCCAAAGCACTCCAAAGTGACAAAACTAAGCACTAAACTTAGTATTGATAGCAGCGCCCAGCGATAGAGGGCGCTGCTCCCTCATAAAGAATCATTTATTTTATTTTATTTTTACACTTTGTCCCAGTGTTGCCAGAAACAATTTGCCGTAACAAAAAAATCAATGGAGTAGTAGGTGCTCTATGTAGCGTACCTTAAACAGGCCGTATCAAAATGCTAGTGGCTAGTTAGTGACCCTTTTAACTAAAAAAAGTAATTTTAAAACGACAAGTGGCACTCTTTTAAAATAGGATCAGCGGAGGCCCGCACCCGGCACACCAATGGCCATATTTGCCCTCTACAGTCTTTAACACCGCAGCGGAAATAAAACCCGTGGAGTCGTTGATTGCGATGCATTTGAAGCGCGTAATGCCAGTCCCTGTACCTACCTACCTACACTTAACCGGCCCCGCAGTGTATACCTACATCGAGACCCAGCCTATCAGTAGCCGGTGGCGGCGACTCTTCACTATTTCTTTTGCCGCTTGCGCTGGCATTCGCACTAAGACGCTGCTGGTTTCTCTCGCTCGCTTCGCTAATTTTGTCCATTAAGTTATTGTCTAGCGGGCAGTTGGTCTTGCTTCGCTCGGTGAAGTTATCGAGACGTGAGATAAAGATCATCGTGTTTTGCCACCTCTGAGCATGCAGCAGCCAAAGGCGCGGCTGAGGCAATGTATGGGGTTTACTTGGTTAGGCATGGGGACAGATGAAGCTTTGCCCCTTTTTTTCAGATGTGGCTCTTTAGTACAGATGTACGGCCACTGTGGAGGGCTCAACAGACGGGGCGGGGAATGTGCAGGTGCCGTCTTGAGGCCGGAACGCACCTTGGCTTTTATAGCTAGGGTAGTTTTCGCGCAAGGAGCCGTTGCTGTCTCCGCTAGAGGAGCAGGTCAGCTAAGTACAGTCATTTATCTACTGCTCGTGTGGTAGGGTCAGTGGATAATGTCGCTGCACAGAGTGGGGATACTTTGGCGGTGCTGATCCCTTTACTTTGTCGGACACGAGAGAGGGGCAGAAGCATTATTCTGCGAGGAGACGATCCTTTAAGTAAATACCAAAAAGAAGGAGTTTGGTCCCCATCTGGACCATAAGATTTCTCTTCATTTCCTCCTCCTGGGTAAGTAGTAGATATAAATGCGAGGTGGAGCTAATAAAATATGTTGTCGGCTAAATTGTCTTTTCTCCGTTTAAGTTGTGAACCTCTTGACGAAGCTCCTCAAGATCCTTGTTAAGTTTTAAATAAAAAACTTGCTTATCGAACTACTTATGACGGGAATCGAATGCACGATATTTCGCTTGCCTGACGACCTCCTTTATAAGTAGCAAGTTTGCCAGATTTAGCCTGTGAAATTCTTTCGTCAGGATGCCCGGTTGGCGAACACAATGGCCGCTTCAATTGCAAAAGTGACTCCTTTAACCCTGCTCCGTGCCTCTCAAGTTTCGCACTTGCCCGCATTATTAGTTAAAATACCGCCTGAAAACTAGTGGGCACTGTCTGCACATGGCACAAGCTCGTCTACGGTGATGGTGCGCGCGAAGGCGAACCGTTTTATCCTAACTTAGAAAATCATTTTTTTAAGTGTGCATTCTTTTATTGAACAGTGTGTCATCGAATGCAGCCGGCTCAAACACGGTTAAGTACTTACTAAGGCAGCAGACGAGGACGATGCAGTGGAAAATAAAAGTTAATAACTTGCATCAATCCATTTGACTATGATCCGAATATCCAGTGCGTAAGGTGTATAGTTTATCGATTCATCTCTCCCCCCGGTTACAATCAATTGACAGTCATTTACCACCACCTTCCTCCTAATAAGAAAATTGGTGCAGTTTATACAAGTACAAGACGATACAATCATGGTTACACGACAATGTCAGGTCACATTACAATGCATTCTGAGATTAGGTAGACCGCACTATGACACTGAGACCGACCGACGATCTGGTGAAGGTCGCGGGAGGTGCCTGGATGCGGGCGGCGCAGGACCGGTCTTTGTGGAAACGAACCATGACACTTAACGTGTTTTCTTCCACGCAAAAAACTGAATTAAAACTTGCGCACTGTGTGTAGCCCCTTTTCTAGAACAAATCACTAAATAACTCTTTATTACAAAACCGTTTAGTGGTAAGACTTGCTCGCTCGAATGACCCTGGAGAACCTGTACCAAAAAGTACCTACTTACGATCATAGGCTTAATTATGCCTCTACTATACTAATGTACAGATCATAGGTCTGAGTCCTACTTAGTGAGTCAGAGACCTAAATGTGTGTTCCTGTTGTACCTCGGCGTGTAACTTTATAGTTTCACGGACTCTACTATCTATGTAAGTAGGTAAATCCTCTTGAGTCCTTTACAGGAGCGTCTGCCTGTTGTGTGTTATGCAATAGAACGCAATCTAGGGTGATACGTTACTCTTGTGGCATTTGCTGCTCTATGCGGTCGCAACAAGGGCAGCGAAGCCACAGCCGGAGGAGGCTGGCGCAGCGGCGCAGTCGCGGCTGGTGCAGTGTGCTCGCAGTTGAACCAGCTCTGAATAGGCCTACTCAGTAGAGTATTATTCGGGGTTACTCGTACTACACGACAAACCTAAACTAACTTGTATCAAATAGTACTACAGCCGCGGTATTTGAATTCATCTACATGTTCATTTTTTATGCATAACAAGGCAGGTATTCGACCACAATTGGACCTGGTATTAAGTGTGATGCAGTCTAGGATGGTACATTATCTGCCCTTATAAAAAACTAGATTAACACGTTGAGTGCGAAACCAGGTCTATAGACCTTGTGTACGTCTCGCTTGCCGTGCGGCTAAGAAAATTATAGTCTTCCTTGTCGTGCGTAAGGCATAACTTCAATTGGGTCCGGTGTAGGAAAGTGATGAATATATATCTATGATGTATTCTTAAAATAGAATCCAATGATGTACCTACCTTAATACCAGGTTTTTAGACCTGGTACCGCACGGAATTAATAAAATGTCTTCACAATGCGAAACCAGGTTGAAGCACCTTGTACCCTGCGCACCTGGTACCGCACCCCACGCTAGCTACGTGCAGCCAGTGTTGCCTCGCATTCGTAAGAAACGCACATGTCGACATGGCGTCAAGAGAAACAAACAAAATCAAAACTGCAAATTGATTATAATTTAATTTGCTACACGATTTATTGCTAATTTAAATAATGTTTTTCGTGACAAACATTTGAAGTTGTAACTAATAGTTCTTAAATAATATGTTTTCTGTAAATATAGCTTATTTAAGTATTTATGCACGTATATCTTATTTGTAAAATATTTAGACTAAATTATTACAACATCTTTGTTTGTTACTTTTTTTAAATTTTATTAAGTCTTAATTTAAACTATCGATATTTGTATTTCACATCCCTAGAATACCCACCAGACTTCCCTACTTCAGTGCGGCACAGGGTGCATAAGCCTTGTATTTTGAATATAGCTATAATTTTTATACTAAACAAGTTATTAACGAACCCCTTCAGATGTATGTCAATAAATGCATTATTATTAATATTCAAAGAAAAAAAACACAATATCTATCAACATGAAGCCAAAAATAAAATTAATATATCTTAAATATTACAAGGTCTTTAAGCCTTGTGCCGCCACAATGTAAGTTTTAATACCAGGTTTAATGACCTTGTACCGAAGGAATGGAAAGTATTAGAAAGTTACTGCCGCAGCAAAGGTGTTAAATGTCTACGTCAGGTAGGCTTTTCGTTAACCATTTCATAGTTCTCAAACACAGATGTGTTCTGCCGTGACACCGCATGTAGGTACCGCGACGCGGTCGCGCAGTGGTCCTGCGGACTCCTGCGGTAATAACCATAAGCATAGCGGAGAGCGAGCCTGCCGCGCGCGCCTGCACTGCGCCGGGCACCAGCCAGTCCAGCCTGCAGCCGCGCGGAGACCGCTCGTGTCGGTGAGTGAAGCCCTACGACCAACCAGTCTTGACCCACGCACAGGAAATTGAACGATCGCGCCAGTTGTCGTCCCCCTACACACTAAATTGGTCGACCGGTCCGGCTATCAATAACTAGTTTGGTGATGGAATCTATTCAAATGATAACATTTTCGACCAGTTAAACTCTACTAATTTAATTAGAGACAGTGTTAAGTTCCTAAAAGTAGAGTCAAGTGGAAGGTCACAGGTAGAGCACCCAGAATTAATTTAATTATTCTAACATGTGTGTAATCGTATTCGTATCCTTATAAAATAATTGTACTGTAATAAAATTCTTTAGGAGTTAGATAGAGGTGCTCTGCTAAGACGCCGGCTTCACACAATCCATAATACTTACATCAGTGGTTATAATTACGCCTGTCGTCTGTTGTAGCATCGTGAAGCATGTCTAAGACCACCAGCTCGGAGGCCCAGGCCGGCGGCAGCGCCTCCAGCGCCACGGAAACCACGCCGCTGATCGCTACCAATGTGAGTTTCCTTCCTTCTTCTGTTACATCTACAAATTACAAAAAAATGTCATCCGCGTTAACTGTTTAGGAGCTCTACCTGTTTTTGTGCTTCTATTTACATAAAATGATAACAAACCTTTGTTATCGAGCACTAGGAGTAATTAATTCAAATCGACTGTTTCATTTTAAAGGTAGAGCAGGCCCTAAGTACCTGTTTTTTGTTTGTCGTAATTTTGTAAATACGATGTACCTACATATTCCTGCCATAGAGTACGCAGTAGCGTCGTAGTACTTATTAATATTCTGTGGCAGCAGGCGCTAGATGAATGCCGCTACAAAGATACCTATACAGAGCGATACCTTTTTACCATTTTAATCTCATTAAAAACTCATTCCGTAGAGTTTGTTTGTTTGTGTGGGTCCCTCCCACGAAAAGTTTCCTAAACTTGCGCAAGACTTGCTCGACTGCATTCAAGTTTGACCAAACCACTTAATCGACGATTTAATTACATTTTACTAACACGTCTTTTTTAAGGAATTTTCAATATCTATTAGGCAGCTCTAACAATGATTTATTGTTGAGCAGTGGTTCTAAGTAATGTACTAACCTACACTACCTTATCTTCTTTGTTTCCTTGGTTAATAGCATTACGGAACTAGAGACTTGATTGTAAAATTTCACCAAGGGAATAGAAAAGTTCTGTTGCCAAATGTTGTAGACTAATACGTAATTAAACGAAGTCGGCGAATTTGAAATAGTTAATTTAAAAACACCGTGTGAAGTAAAAACCATCGTAGTTAATAATGTTATGTGCGCAGTAATATCAACAGTAATTTGACACGCATAGAATTAGTTTTGATGGTCGCAGGGGCAGGCTATCGTGTGACCAGCGCGGGCGCAGCCTCTCAAGTTTATGGCCGTCTGTTGCTGGGCCGCAGGCGATGATATTTCACCTTAAGAATTATCAATTGATCATCATAGATTTCCTACATTTAAAAGTAGGTATTTGTAAAATGCACATAGATAGATGCATCTAAAGTAAAGCTGGTTGTGACCTCCGCTAACTACAAGTTTACTACTCTTAAGATAGAAGAAGAAGAAGAAGAAGAAATCGTAATACGACTAGTGGACTATCTCAAAGCATTCTAAAATAATAATAATTATGACCACCAAACTGATCGATTTTCAAGCTTGCTGAAATGCCAATAACAAAAAGGAAAAATCCGAGGATAATGAATAAAACAATATGCTAAAACATTTAGAACACATTGGTATAAAATATCGTCGTGAAACAATAAAAACTGCTATAAAAACAAGAGTTAGACCGCGTACAAAAAATGTCTCGGCATCAGCTAGTCGGCTTATTTCGTGATATCAGAATAGTTCCCCTGGCCGTATCCTGTGGCAAGCACTGTTGTTGCTTGAGGCTGCAGGATCTGCAGGAATTGGTCAAGCAACTAAGCTTAGGGCGACTAAGCGATCAAACTACTTAAGAAAAGCTGTTACTAATATTTTTTCTTTTCTTTTACTCGTATAAAGTGTAAAGTTTTTGAATAGGTTGTCGAGGAACCTGATAATGGAGGAGGAGGCGGTGGAGGCACCGCGAGCGCAGGGCTGTCGGCGAAGCAGACGGCCTTCCTGATCGCCGGCGAGATGGCTGGCAGCGGGGTGCTGGCACTGCCGCGAGCTCTGGTCAAGACGGGTGAGTGGATTCCTTTCGAGACAGTAATGCAGGTGAAGTGGAGAGGAATATGGTAATCAAGGAGGCGGCAGCGGAGGCACTGCGAACGCAGAGCTGTCGGCGAAGCAGACGGCAGTCCTGATCATGGGCGAAATGCCGGCGCTGCCACGGGCTTTGGTCAAGACGGGTGAGTAGATTCCTTCCCGAGACAGTAACGCAGGTATGCAGAAGTGGAGAGCAGTTCCTGATCACTGCCACGTGCGTTAGGCCACACAGGTGAAACAGAGTCAGCAGAAAGGGCTACTGAGAGCAACACTGACTAGGAGAGAGTTAGTTGATCCTGCCTACACAGGGTTGCAGCGGTGGGAACGAGAGGTAGGAATAGTCCCGAAGAAGAGAGCTATTAAGTTGCAATGCAGTCACTCAGATCTACCTGCCTCTCCTAGTTTCTGAAAGCGGATATACCATAATAATATATAATATGTATATACAATAATATGTATGCGGATATACCTACCATTATTCTCGCTTACACCATATACCAGGCTTCTCGAACAGGCGTGTGAAAAGGTGACGAAAGTTGTTACTTGATTAGTTATGATTAATTGAATTAGTTATAATTGGTGTAATTGTTAGGATTCTTTGTCAGATGCCAGAAAAGAAGCTCTACAACTACGAAACTATAGCGTCTCTACAAATTGCTTTACTAATAATGTAGCGACTTTTAAAAAACAACATTTTCACAAGGAATTTTCAAATATACATTTACTGAAATTAATATCGATTTGCTAGGGGCATAGGCTAGGGCCTTGACCAATATAATTGGCGCCATTAGGCACATCCACGTCAAGTCGATATTGGCGGTATTAGTTACGAGGTATGTAAATACTTTGGTTGTTATTGCAATGGTCGGCACGGCAACTTCCATGGCGGAAACGGAAACAAAGATTATGGTATTATATGCACCCTATTGCTTTCCACTCGATGCCGACGGCATCAGCCAAATGATCACCATATTTCATGAATTTCTGCCAGGCTGCTTGATGTATGAATGTAATGACTTGTTTTTTTTAATCGGTCACTTAACTGCAATGCTGAGGTGCTTCAATTTAATTTAACACAACATTTAACCGCTAATGCGATTGCTTTAATGTCCGAATCAATTAAAATTATTTGGTTAGTTAATTGTGAATCATTAGCAATGCAATTATAGCGAATTTTAAAGCACATAGCGAATGATTATTCAATCCACTATGATGAGGAGAGTTCAAGTTATGACGACCTAACTAACTACTTATTAACCCATTGTTACCGCACCGATTTTAACTAATACCTACATAACGCGCCTATGTTTTATTGATGCTTTTATTTGTAGCTGGTTTTCTCAATTGTTATTGTGTTTTAAGAAAAAGTTTCTGAAACGAAAACCCTTCGCCTGGAGCTAATAATATTGATTAATATTTGTACTGTTCTCGATCAAATACTGATGTCGTCGTACAGCAAGACACTGACGGTATCTTTCTGTTTGAGTAGTGATAACATTGTTTGGCAAGTTTCATTGTTCCACATTTCTTATTTAACGTTTTTACATTTATGAATGTGGGAGTCAGTTATACTGAATTTTATTCTAGGACTAAGAAGTAATGTTTTAGCAATCAGCGAAACACATAACAGAATTATTATCACGTCTTACGCGTTGATCTTAGAAAAAAAAAACTATTCTAACTCTCATTACATTATTTATTAGGTACGTACTTATCTTGTTTTCGTTTTACATGCATAGTATTATTATGACATTGCAAGAGAGCCTATGATAATAGGTATTCAAAGTTATTAAAATATTGCTCGCATGTCTGGGTTTGTTATTGTGTACCTATACATATTTACAATACTTTTGTTCCTTTATTTTGTCTTTGAGACGACGTCAAAGTCAATAGTATGCTCCGCTTGAATAATGTATTCTGGAATCTGTTTAAGTAGGACTTTTTACAAAAACACCTACCAACTTCTCTCCTAGTTAACTGTCACAAACAAGGTCTAGACCTAAGTACAGCCAATAATTATAATTTGTTTCAAATAGCTACCTACTACTTAATCTACTTACATACAGGGTGTTCCAGAATGGGTGAATCAAACTGATGGGAGGTAGCTCTACTAATGTACTATCCCTACGAAGCGATCATGTACAATTAATATTAGTAAGAAAAAAGTACAAATAAACTCCAAACGCATACATAGGCAAAGCTGATTTATTTTCACTGTTAAAAAAAAAATTTTTTTTTGTGTTAGTAGAACTACCTCCCCTATCAGTTTGATTCACCCATCTGGGACACCCTGTATAACATAAATCACATACTCGTACATACATTCTAGATAAGTTGATAGATAAACGTCCAAAACTTTGGTTATGACTTGCTTACATTCTGTCCCTCAAGAGATATGAACCCACAACCGCTGTTGTTTAGTAGGTAACACAAAGTATGGCGGATAAAGATGTTAGTTGATATCAATATTAATTTGTTAAAACTTAACAGCATACAGAAAGGATAATAACTATCATGTCACTCATCAGTGCACAGTGATACAAAACCAAGGGCTTATCAACATTTTGGATAAGAAAACACAGATTTCCAAACTACACCAGCAAGATTCCATATCTCGTTACCTTCGGCCCAATCACGTAATAATGAGTGCTCAGCATAGTTTTTTACTTTATCAAGTCTATTTTTGGGACCGGTTTAACTTCTGAGAGTTTGAACCTACACCACTGACCACATCACATCGCAACAGCGTCGAACAAAAAGTGCTTCCTTCGTAAAGACAAATAGTTAATAATTACTACAGGCACACTCTAAGTAAAACTTCTAATAGTAGTTAAAATGTAACAATGAAAAGGTTTTATTTTATTTAAAGTAGAAGAAAAGAGAGTGACCCTTGTCTTATCTTGCCTGCCTTACTGCTTTAATACTTTTAGCCATAGGTATTTAATTTGATTAATTGGATTATAACGCCTTTAGTTTATTCAACTTGGGTGAAAACACACGACGCTAGTTTCGGGTATAGTTGCGTTATTAATAGGCATCACTCCACATTTAGAAAACTGGTTGTAACGACACCGTGGCCAACAGCTCGAAACCAGTTCGGAATTTTATTGTTTTTGTCTTATTCACTATGAATGTTAAACAAACATTTTAATGGGCCAGTTAACGATTTTCTATGTTTTAATAATAATATATTTAACTAATTTAGTTACCTACTTGTTTTTTAAAATAAGTATTCTTCATACAAATGGTACCTAATCATCTGGACAAAATTTTACGACTGAGAGTAGACTAACTCTTGCTTGTGTTACAATTCGTAAGGTTCAAAGATGGTTTCAAGGTTGAGTGAGTAACGGAGCCTAACCAAACAATTAAGTACTCCATCTTAACTGTGCGAAGAAGTCCAACAAAAGAGTGGTTCTCGAACCACTGCACTACGGAGGTTGCAGGGATGGTCTTGTATAAGTCAATGAAGCCAGGGCTAAAGACAAAATGTAGAGCAAAAGATTAAATGTAGATTTAACCTTTGATTTATCTAATTCACTCGTAGTTTAGGCTAGTCATCAAATTAGGGTAGACTGCTGCAGGTAGGTACAGCAAATGTCCTCAAGTAGATATTGCACTACATGGTAGGAATCTGCCTGCCTGAGCCGGGAGTACAGGAATAGCTCGCATATTGTTATTGACATCTGCGTCCTTGTTAAGCCACAATAGGGCAGTTGAAGCCAATCATCTTGATGCGCTGTGTGAACAAATTGAGCCACGGACCATTACATGGTGCAATTTGGATTCAATCAGTTGCAGTCTCAACTACCTATACCTACGTAGGTACGTTTTAGAACATAAACTCGCTTAAAGTCCTTCTTCAAATAACCCTTGAAAATATCAATTGACAATTTACTCGTATTACCTAATTAACTACATATATCCTTTTACGAATCTTTTGAGTTGTCCATTTTTCATCATCAATGATAGGATTTTTAATCATTTAACAGTCACAACATAATCAAAATTTTCATTGTTTTTGCACCTTAAGACAAGCGAATAAGACTCAAAATATGGTGGGCCAACTACATTATGTGCTACTCTAAACCCTAGTAACGCCTTTCATGATTCTGTGAACAGTTGAAACGTCCACAATGCAAACTCTGATATAACGAGTCGTGACGTATTTGTGCCTTTATTTTTCAGGTTGGGTTGGTGTGCCCATCATCATCGGGATGTGCGCCATCGCGGCCTTCAGCGGCAAGCGGCTCGGCGACTGCTGGTCCATCATCGAGGGCCGCGACCCTGAGATGAGGAGCCGGAAGAGGAACCCTTACGCCATCATCGCTGACCAGGCGCTGGGCAGGACATGGAGGTAGGTACTCGTTTCAGCCAAAAGTTTTCGGAAGAATCTTTTTTCAGTCGGAGCTCCAAATTCCATTGGGACAACATATGATGACAGCCATGCACAGATCGCAAAAACTAAAGGCAGCCATTGAAATATTTTGCGTTGAGCGTGTGCGCACCTTAATCGTATCGCTATAACAGATTCAAGTGCACACACGTTCCGCAGTAAATATTTCCTCTTACGGACGAATCAGGATTCAAACCTACAATTTGCTTCACTCGAAATCTCTACTGCACAAAGAAAGATAACTTTAAAAAAAGGAAGAATCCGGCTCATCGCCATCTACGTCTACTGGCTCGGAAATGGCAGCAGGTTGTGAGTATTCCAATAAAGTCATCCCTAGTTCCCTTATACTGGTTATATTATAGTTGTATGATGTCCACTGAGTCCTCCAACCAGGGTACTGACCAGGGTAGCTGACACCATTAACCAAATCAAGACACAAAAAAAAATACACTAATCTAGCCCTGAAAATCGAGTTGCTACATGATGAGCAGCTTTGAAATAGTTAATCAATTAAGTTGGCAGAAAAGTGTCGTCCCCAGATTTTTTTGGTTTGCAGGATTGTGGTGCGTTTTGACATCTCAAAATACTATGTCAATTGACTTGTTTGGAGCGCCTACTCAAATCACACGCGTTAATTTCCCACCAGCGTGATAGTGTCGATGGCGGTGACGGTGACGCTGTTCGGCGCGGCCGTGGTGTACCTGCTGCTCGCGGCGCAGATCATCGAGCAGGTGCTGCACTCGCTCATCCCCGCCGTGACCTTCTGCTCCTGGTACCTCATCGTGGCCGGCGCCATGACCCCCCTCATGCTCTTCGGAACTCCGAGGGACTTCTCGTGAGTACAGGACCTAGCTGCAGTGGGCAGTGTTATTGACCATAATGCACTTGCATTCGGTATTCGATATATTGATGATATTTCAAGATTAAAAGCGACTCATCGTGGGAATCCATCTAGCCAGTTGCTAGATAAGTTATTGTGACTCTATCTAACAATATTTGTTGTAACTTTGCTCAGCTTCATCGGCGTGGTGGCTCTTGGCGCCACGGTGCTGGCGTGCGCGCTGTACTTCATCCAAATGATGAGCGAGGTGCGGCCCTTCGTGTTCCGCCTCGGCATCCACGGCTTCGAGGACTTCTTCCTGGCCTTCGGCACCATCATGTTCGCATTCGGCGGCGCCTCCACCTTCCCCACCATCCAGAACGACATGGCCGATAAGAGCAAGTTCAGTAAGAGTCTTCAGTGGAGCTTTATCGGTGAGTTTTTTATGCGATGGGCAAAGGAACGTGGTGGAAAAGGGCCATATCTACCAATCAGGATTTAAACGTATCGTTTTTGACTAGACTAACCAAAATAGGTATAAAAAGTGATTTCGACAATCTCGGGCTTAAGATCTGTCTCGTAGTCCTAGAATTCTGAGACATGTAAAAGGTAAAAACAGAGCTAGAATCAAAGTGTTTTTGGGGAGTAGACTCACAGATTTTGATATACACGCATCTAATACTACTATTACATAGTAAAGCTTTGCTTAGTTTGGGACTAGATGCGTAGTGTAAAATGTCCAAATTGTCCAAGGATATGTATTATTATTATTTATTATATCTCTTCTTTCCGTATGCTGCACTGGTGAGGTTGGAATGGACTCACTGTAGAAGGTGGACGGAATCGTTAACCATGCTGACCCAACGCCAAATGTAGTAAATGTACTTAAACTACCCTAGGCCCTTGCGGTACAGACGGCACAGTAAATATGTACCTATTTAATTACTAGCAACACTAATACAGCGACATGCTTAGTACTTATCTACTTAATTACTAACAAGAGTAATCTAGTGGCATGCTAAGTACTTAACTAGTGATAAGAAAGCTCTTGTGGCATACTAAATGCACTTTATTAATAAATAAGTCAATTAATTCGGCATAGTACTTAAGTACTAATAAGACAAGCCCAGGTCTGCGCTGCCCGCATCCAGGGGCTTCCTGCGACCTTCACTAGATCGTCGGTCCGCATTACATTATTCGGTCCAATCGAATTTTATTCTGCCACAACGGCCGTCAGTTCTACGAGCTGTGTGCTTCGCTTACTGTCACATAACTTTACCATTTCTTGAGGCTATGCAGCTCTCATCAAAATCTAAATCTAAATAATTTCTATAAGTCTACTAATGCGGCACACTAAATATGTACTTAATAACTAACCAGAATATCCGGCGGCCCACTAAATTATGTACTTAATAACTAACAAGACCATCCAGCGGCACACTAAATATGTACTTAATATCTAATAAGACCATCCAGCGGCACGCTAAATATGTACTTATTAACTAATAACACTAGTCCAGCGGCAAACTAAATATTATATGTACTTAACAACTAACAAGATCATCCAGCGGCACACTAAATATGTACTTAATATCTAATAAGACCATCCAGCGGCACGCTAAATATGTACTTATTAACTAACAACACTAGTCCAGCGGCAAACTAAATATTATGTACTTAACAACTAACAAGACCACCCAGCGGCACGCTAAATGTACTTATTAACTAACAAGACTAGGCCAGCGTCACACTAAATCATAACAATATTATGTATAACTCAAAGGTGACTGACTGACTGACATAGTGATCTATCAACGCACAGCCCAAACTACTGGACGGATCGGGCTGAAAATTGGCATGCAGGTAGATGTTATGATGAAAGGATTTTACGAAACTCCACCTCTACGGGGGTAAAACGGGCTCCACGCGTACGAATTCAAATTTGGAATATAAGTAGTGTTTGGTGTATGAATCAAGGAAAAACTAAAATATTTGGGGGCACGGTAGTGCAACCGCCAAGTCGAGTAAAATTTTTCAATTTCGGTCCAGTTTTCTAGATACGTAACTGCTGTCTACAAAATACAAAAAGAAATGAGATCCCATCAAAAACAATACTTGTCAAAAAAACCAAGTCTCGCAACTCAGTTGTTCTACGGTAAAAAGTTGTGAGATCCATGTAATACCAAGTCCAGGCCAGGAAATCTTTAACGTTTTACATAAATATATTGACTTGGCCATCGCATGAAAACACGTGTACAAATTAAATTATTTAGTGCGATGGCCAAGTCAATATATTTATGTAAAACGTTAAAGATTTCCTGGCCTGGACTTGGTATTACATGGATCTCACAACTTTTTACCGTAGAGTTGCGAGACTTGGTTTTTTTGACAAGTATTGTTTTTGATGGGATGTAGGTACTTATTTACTAACAAGACCATCCAGCGGCACGCTAAATTTATGTACCAACTAATAAGACTAGTCCAGCGGCACACTAAATAATGTACTTAACAAACTAACAAGACTATTCCAGCGGCACACTATATGTGTACTTAATAACTAACAAGACCATCCAGTGGCACACTAAATATGTCCTTAATTACTAACAAGACCATCCAGCCAGCGGCACGCTAAATACTCTTAATATACTCTTAATATTATGTACATAATCACTAACCAAACGTTAAACGTACTAACTAAGGCTGGGTTGCACCATCTTACTTTGACTTTAACAAACGTCAAAAATGTGTCAAACTTCATACAAAATACACCGGTTATCGTTATAGTCACGGTTAAAGTTAGATGGTGCAACCCTGCCTAAATGTATTACCTAATGACTAACAAGACCACTTTGGCGACAATAAGTTAATTGCTAACCAAACAAGTGCTTAACTTCCCCATTGCCCATGCCCCATTAACAAATATATGTATTTGATTATATCACCATTATTCTTTACCACTAATTACATACTTACTAAACAATGTATTTAACAACACAAGACAACTTAAATTTGATAACCCCACTACTGCATTAACATCATATTGTGAGAACACCTAATTACTAATCAATCAGCTTTTTGAAATATTTAAACTACTAACAAAATTGCTTGAGCCTTACCCTTCAAGAAAGTACCAAATTACTAACAAACTTTTTAGTTTTTAGCGCATGCAGATTAAAATAAATGCACAAACTTGTTTATTAGAAATAGGTTCCAACAACATAAGGAAATGTATGCCATACACAATGTCTTAGCAACACACTTAGTAAATCTGCACCATTTTGTGAAAGTACTTACTCAATTACCCACTAATACTTACAAGTTGCATACGGCTGCATCTTTTTATAATGTAGACTAAGTTTTAGTTTAGTTCATTAACAAGGTTACCTCGTAAACATAAACCACTAGCAGAGTACACGTTGTGTTATTAATTTACTAACCGTGATAATGCCTAGATTGCAAGCAAGGTTATAATTACTTACTAGGCTGCTATGCAATGCAGTACACTTTGAGAATGCATGTCAAGTGCATGTCGGAAGATATTTTAATCTTAGCATGACACTATTTTCTGGCAACGCTCTGTATGTTCAGGCATAACAATCAAGGAGCGAAGAAGTAGTTAACTATGGGATCAATAATAATGGTATAGTTTATCCTTAACTCTCCCAGCAATCCTCCTATTGTACTTGCCCATCGCGATCGGCGGGTACGCGGTGTTCGGCGAGAGCGTGGCGCCCAACGTGGCGGCGTCGCTGAAGGACACGCCTCTCAAACTCGTCGGCAACATCCTCATGGCGCTGCACCTCTTGGCCGCCTTCATGATCCTCATCAACCCTGTCTGCCAAGAGATGGAGGAGCTCTACAACGTGCCCAGGGGTATGTTTTTGAGGTCATAGTTTTGGTGGTGGACATTGGAGATGCGTCAAAAGCTTTGGCAGCTTTCTCAGGAACAGCGCCTTTCAATAAGGAAGGATGAGCAAATGAACTAGAATGACCGACATTCACACTTGTTTTGGCCAGATCAAGTCGCCACTGTTCGCCACGCTGTGAATTCCAGTTATTAGCTTTTCTCTGCAGAATAAGACCCTTTGTGCAGGCGGCTCCGCGGCTGGTGGAATGATGACAACGTGCTAGTTTGGGTCTGGTTCTCCAAAGATGAAAGAGGCGATGGAATAAGGTCATGCAATTCCTTAATCTATATTATCACTCCAGCTATTTTGCCCTTCCTCTTCAACTACCTATCTTTCTAGTGGCACAATTCTTGAGCAAGCAACCTAATGAGTTCCAATCGTTGCAGAGTCTACTGGCTGGCGCTTCGCCGTCCGCCTGTCGATAATGGCGGGTCTCCTGTTCATCGGTGAGAGCATCCCTCGCTTCGACAAGATCCTGGCGCTGGTGGGCGGTACCAGCGTGGCCCTGCTCACGTTCATCCTGCCCTCATATTGCTACCTGAACTTGATCAAGCAATCACGAGCCGAAGGACAAAAACCAATGTAAGAATATCTGCCCTGTCCAAGTCTGCTTTGATCTTGAGATCGAAATCGATTCATAATTTCGAACTCCTCCTATGAGTAAATATATATTCTTCTAAATAAAATCGTTGCGAGTCCAATGAAAGTATAACTTTTGCCCGGGGTGAACTTGGCCTTCATTGGTTGGGTTTTTATTGGCGGTCAAGCTGTAGATCTTGGGTACACAGAACAGGGGTTGCAGTGGTGGAAACGAGAGGTGGGAATAGCCCCGTACCCCGTACAAACATTCTTGAAGCTTATATTTATTTCCCTATTGTCCTTTGTGGTGTTACTGGCTTAGAAAATAAAATATGTTGGACGTATTCCAGTGAAACTCCCGGATGGATGAAGATGGTGTGCTGGGAGGTGATCGCGGTGGGCGTGGTGGGCGGCGTGGCGACCACCATCAGCGCCATCAGCACCATCTTCGGATCCACTCTCACCAAGCCCTGCTACCTTTAAGACATCACTTTTTTAATGTAGCCATCTTGACATCTTACGTAATAATGTCTTTCAACTTAATTAGGATACCTTTATTTTGGTATGGGTTATGCACATCGTGGTATTCTTTCCATTGTTTGAATATTTTCTCTCTTCTTTGTTTGGTTTTAGAGTGACTAAAATTTTATAGCCCAGGCGGCCAAAGAGTTTAGTTTAGTCACTTTATTGCACACTCAAATCTACTTACATTTATAGTGAGAACAAAAAGCTTATTGTCTTTTTTTATTTTTTTATTTGTTTAGTTTAAAAAAATACATAATTACAGGGAGAAATAACAATGTTACTGTGTGTTAGTTAAGTAATTTTAGCCTCAAAATAAATATGTAACAAAGTGTTGTTATTGGATTTTCATTTAGTTAATCTAATCGATTCCTTGAGGTCGTAGAATTTATTTAATGATTGCAACATAATTCCATAGAAATATGTACTTATATTAAATAATTTGGACACTTGATTAAGACTGATTGGCGTAAAAACCGATTTTTTTCGACTTATTTCAAACAAGTTATGGTGATTTGTTTACAAAATGGTATCTACTTTATTATAATTAAGATACCATTTTGTAAACAAATCACCATAACTTGTTTGAAATAAGTCGAAAAAAATCGGTTTTTACGCCAATCAGTTCAAAATAAAGTAAGTAGTCAGCCGGGTTGCTAGTTTAATAATGATACAAAGGCCCAAAAATTGCATGTTTCGGGATTTACGCAATTCTTTTCCAATGCAGTCCATGGTTTTTAAGTTTGTATTACGTATTCCGTTGGGACTTATAGCAAATTCCCCCTCCACCACTATTAATTAAATAGTTTCTGGTCTTTACCTGATTAGAGCTATCACAACCTATATGATTATATCTAGTATTATAAATAGGTCTAGGTACTAGTGGAATTCTAACGTTCATATTATCATATTGCGACTGATATATAAACAAGGTGACTATGTAATTCAGTAAATAACGGACAATCAGATGACTATGTTTAGTTAATAATAGACAGTGCTTCTTGATGATGCAGCTCACAATGACTTGAAGTTACGGAATATAAAATAAGTCGAAACAGCATAATTATGGATCCATTAGACAATGTTAAATCGTAGCCACAATCCATCTGCATCATCGTCATCATCATATCAACCACGAGGATAGAGGCCTCCCTAATGATTTCCATATTGACCGGTTGGCATTGACCTGCAATTCAGCGCTTTCCTGCCGGTCGTCAGTCCACCATGTAGGTGAACATCACACGTTGCACTTTCCGGTACGTGGCCTCCAATCCAGAACCTTGCTGCCCCATCGTCCGCCTGCGTACTATGTACCCTGCCCATTACCACTTGCAACTTGCTATTACTTATCCGTCGCGCTACTGTCAGGCTGTGTAACTTTGAGTTCTTTATACGTTTTAGAACATCACAATAACCGCCTCTGTGGTAAATTGTCTAGTGGTAAGACCACCTGCTTCAGACGCAGAGGTCCCGGGTTCGATTCCCAGTGGGGGCAGATTTTTCTGTTCGGTTTGGTTGGTGGTAGGGCTTGTTCTAAGTCCGCCTGGCTAGCTAATACCATGGTGTTTGCACCATTGCAATCTTACCTAAGTCTGTCGCCATAACAACAATGTTAACAGCATTGTTGTGTTCCGGCAGTTAGAGGTAAGATCTTAGCCAGTTCTTCCGTGGTTGAGGTTTCCGGGTGAAGCTCGCTTCCACCTTCATCACTTACCATCAGGTGAGATACAGGCCAAGAACTTCCTCGTTGTCATTGAAGTAATATTACTACGTAGTACATTATAACTCAATGCTCGTTGTGCATTAAAAAAAACAAGCGCAATTTCTCTATAATCCGAAACTATTCCCTCTGGTACCCCCCAGGATTTTGGAGTTACCTACCGATTCGAAGATTGAAAGACAATCGCACCCCCCTAGAAAAGGTAGACGAGGAGGAAGTAGCATTGCTGGATTGTGTTTAGAAGGAAGTGCAAGGCTCTATGACCACTTGTGTGTCTATGAAATAGGAAAGAAAATCATGGTTTGGCATGGCTGATGCAATAAAAGTCAAGCCAATTTTAGGAGGCCGGGGGGACCGTAGACCACGTTGACTACTTGACGATGCCATGGTTACCCCAGCAGCGAGTTACGTCAGTCGACCCCCAGCGGACAGTCGTTATCGTCACGATTACAATGCTGCGATAACGAGTCGCCTTCGACTCGCCTCGACGTGCGCCGTTCTTTAACTTTGTTGTTTATGTAAATAACGCTTGTTATTCTATTTGTTTCATCATAAAATTCGAGAACTTATTTTAAAATTGAAATAATTTATTTATTGATTTTATTTGGTGTCAACAAGTGATTCCAGTTTGAGTTTCAAAACTTAGATTTATAATTTTTAGATTTATGAGTTTTTGATAATAGGACAAAGAAATAAATTAGTTTAAAGATTAAGCACATTAGCTTCTGTAAGTATGGCGCTAATAGAAATCAGCACTAATTAGGATACTTTAATTTTCTTAATTATAATTATAGATTAAATTAGTTTATTGTTTTCTCATTAGCCAAGTGTCTATTAGTTAACGCGCCGATACCGAATATTGATAGCGACGAGAGCGGCGCGCGCGCACATCGTCGTCATTTCGCGCCGAAGTCTCGCTGCGTTCGCCGTTTGCGGTCCCCAGCTTTAGTGAGACGCTCCCTACGGTGTGACAGGTATTTAAAATTATATTTTTAATAAACTACATAATAACTTACTACAATATCTAAATAGAAAACAAGCCGTGTATGACAATAGTAAGAAATTAAAGTCTTATAGTCTGACAACTATTTTTGGCGTTAATGCGAGGTTCTGGACTTACTAGCTAAGCTGTATTAATATTAAATGCGAAATTATTGATGGCGATTATTCCCATTCCTTTTTCTCTTCTTTTTTTTTTAAATGCTTACTGAAATGAAATTAATAATATTTTATACTTTAAGATTAGTCTATATTTTATTTGCGTGCTTGATAAATTAATAATCTTGGAGAATCTAACTCTATGTTGTTAATTGTGTAGGTAAATTGCAAATCGTTATAACATTTCAAACTTTTTGACGGTTTGTATTTTTTTTTATTAAATAAAAGCTGCTGTAGCTACATAATCAAATCTTCGAATAATTATTCTTAAAAATTGGTCGGTACGTGAAATCAACCCTGTAAAGTGTGCAATAAAACCCTGAAAACGTAAAACATTTGTTGACACGTGGTCATCCTCATTGAGATCGTCCACTATTAAATACCAATGTCGGCACTAGTCGGATAGCAAAATGTTTAAGTATTTCTTAAGACCCCGAGTAGTAACAACGATACAAGATAAAACTTTAAGTAAACATAGCGTTATCAACAATGAACTCGGATATCGTTATTAAGTTCAAAATTGAGAGGAACACCTACGATATGATCAGTGATGAGTTCAGTGCTATTTGATAATTTTGTGCCTACGTCTTCATCATTTTAAACATGGTAAGTATGTAAAGTTTATGAAATGCCAATGTTGTCTAGGTCTAGAATACCACTTGAGTTTATCTTGGTGCTAGAGCTAGCTGCAGGACGGCTCAGCGATGCGCCGCGTGATTCACTAGTGGCTCTAGTGAACAACAGCGTGCACTCAATAACTCAATATTATGTCATTTTTTTGTGAATAACAACGGGTCAAGGAGATACTGGTATCACGCCAACAGTAAAATTGTTGCGTAGTAAAGAACCACAGGTTATGACCTATCCAACTGCAACTTCGTGCTTGCGAACAGAACTTACTTATTTGACTTCATAGCATGGACCTAATACTTAACTAATAATGAGTTATTAAAAACGATTAACACGTTAATAGAATGCAATCATAATAATTATTATTGACGGGATTGCTACCATGTACCTTAATTTTGAGTTTCCGATATTTCAGCACTGTTGCAAGCGCCATGGTCACGAAGTAGTTAACTCAGGAAACTTGCGGGTGAGATGTTATGGGCAGACATATCGGTCTATCTTCTTTCGCAGTCTTTTATTACGCTTGCCTCCCGTACCACCGTTTACCAACTCACTATTTCGTGACCATTATTATGTTAGTGACCATAAAAGTTTAAAACAATAGAACGCAATCAATTCAGAATTATTTTCATGAAAAGCTCTGTCTTTTATTTCTCATGTTCTATTTAGTTTTCGGTGCCACAAGAAATGGAAATGTTTCAACTCCTCTTCCAATATGTTATTAAACTTTATTTTATTATTAAGGTATGTCGTTTCAGAAAAGAAAAGTTATAAGCGAAGATGGTTCTAACCGGTCTCGTACGAAGCGTTTCCCGCGCCGGCCGCTGCGCGCGCGCACACTACTGCAGCAGGGCTCTCTACAGCACGGAAAACAAAGGTAAAGTATTGTCTTATTTTTCATTAAGCTAGATATGGATGCCTGCATTTGCGCAATTAAATCGGCTTGATGATTGAGATGTTTCCGAACGATAAAATATTTAGTTGTATTTTATTTATTACACCGACTTCTTATTTTAAGTATATTGTTATCAAAATGGCATGATAGTTGACTTCAGAGTAAAGTCTGACGCACTAGCTAATGCGAGTTGGAGTAGAAATTACTCATTTGTGAAATACAATCTATCGTAGCTGCAATAAACAAACATGCACGCTTTTTCTATTTCTTTGACATTATCTTCTGTGCTTAGCGAATGATGTACGAAGTTCTTCATTCTTTATAAACTTACCATTATGATTTTCTTTGTGATTAATTTTGTTGTTCAATATGTGTTTGTAATCTTGATTAATATTTCAATATGTTGTTTTCAGCGCGGTACTATACGAAGAAACACGAGTGGGTCTCGGTCTCAGACAACATTGGCACTGTCGGCATATCCAGCTACGCGCAGGTGAATATACTTTGTTTATTAAATTAACCATTACAACATTTTAATTGGTTTCCATTCTGCGACACAGGCTGTTCGATATAATACCTACTTACGCGAGTTAACGTTCGTGTACATGTAGAAGTCAAGACAGATATTCCCAAGGCATAAAGAACAAGAAGAATCACGACCAAATCATCTTCTTGCTTCGGCGCGGCGCCATTCAATCCGCGGATAATTGTAGTCGATGGGCAGGCCCAACTTCCTCATGTTTCCATCAGGCAGTTGCTACCCTTATCTCATTTCCCCTGCTGTGATCTTCAGGATGCGCTGGGAGAGGTGGTGTTCGCCCAGCTCCCAGAGGTGGGGCGGGCGGTGGCGGCGGGCGACGAGTGCGGCGCGCTCGAGAGCGTCAAGGCGGCCAGCGAGGTCTACACGCCCGTGTCTGGAGTGGTAAGCATCCT